ATAGGTAATAAATTATAATAATTTCCCCAAGTCAAGTCTGTTCTGCCCACGACTGCAATGGGCGGGTGGTCCCTCCCTGTGATTCTCCTGACCCAGGAACCTTTGGTTGTACTTTCTCTCCCCTGCTCAGATGAGGGGAGGGATAGAGCTGTGTCCAGCCAGGGTCAATCCACGACACCATCTATGGAAAAATCTGCAACTTGCTTCTCACTATTAATCCACCAGTCACAAGTAACTACAAAAATGTGATTTTGTTTTGTACTGTTACACAAAACTTGATGATTCTCTGAAAGTCAGGTAAATGTAACAGACATATACAGTATAACATAACTGCATGCAAAGCAATAAAAATCCATTGGTTTACTATAGGTTTGTGCTTTAAAGTTGCTCAAGTATTACACAAGATGGTTCAAACAGGATTATTGCCTCTATCTGGGTTATCTGCTTGAGTTTTCCTCAGTTTTTATTCTACAGGCTCTACTGAAAGCTTCATTAAGGAAAAGATTGTGAAAAGCTACCAGTGTCCTCTGAAGTATCTGTTATTAAGACTCCACATTTTCTTTTTAGAACGTAACCTGACTAGACCTAACTGGAAGGTTTCCTTATCCTCTGGGCTGAGCCTTCTTCTCAGCTTCTCCCCACTACCTGCACAAAGCATCTGTCCTGCCAAGCTCCAGGCTCCCACTACCTGCCTGTACTCCTCCTGCTATCCCAGCCAGCCCAGAGCACACTGGTCACCTGGCAAGAAGGCTCAGCGAGGGTTGCAAAACAGCACATGCACTATCTTTCTACACTTGGGGGGAAGGGGGAGAGAGGAGCATGGAGAAGATGGTTTTAAGAAATGTACAAAAACACCTCTGAAAATTTCCAAAATTTTCACCCTTCTATCAAATTTTAAGTTATCCACAAGATTCAAATGGCATACAAGGTGCAAAAAGACATAACATTCTCTGAAAAATGCTAAGGAAAAGCATTCTTCAGAAGTAATGTTTTCTTGTGCCTAACCAAAGAAATACAAAATACCACAAAAAGGTATTAGGTTTAGCTCAAGTCTTTTTTTTTTTTTTTAATCAGGAAATAAAGTGGTCAGACATGTCACAGAAATCAAAAAGTAGCAGTGACTTAAATTTTCACGTGGGGACAGAAGTCCATGCCTCAAAAATTCACAGCTTTCAAGCAAAAGTAAGAAACTTCAAGTTGGCTGCCAGTAACACTTTTAAAGAACATCTAGAAAGTTCCAGTTGCTGAATAAATACCTGATTTATATTAGGAAAAAACCTCAAATATATGTCTGATTATACCGACCTCTACTATAGAATGCTCTAAGTGTCTAGCATCACACACACCAAGAAAATCTCCATAAAACCTCCCAGAAATTTTACATTTTGAAGCAGCATTTGTAGCTAGCAATCCAAGAGTTCCCAGAGTTTAAAAAAATACAGCAAGCAGGAGTTCACTGCAGATAACAGAAATAGCTTCACACAGTAAATAGCAAGGAATGTGCATCTCAGACAACACCACAGTATCGTGCAGGGGAGGAAATCAAAGCCTCTGTAATTTAACACTGATAAATTCATTAGAAAAAAAAATCTGAAGTAGCCTCAGCTACTCCTTCAGATGGTTACTTCATGATCGGAGCAGCTGCAGTGATTGTAACAGAAGCACTAATAACAACTGGCTACAGTCAACTTAGAGACCTGTGCACCAAATCATGAATGATGAGATCACTGCAGCAATGAAAACAGCAGGGGAAAAACACTTTAAAAGATGATATGGGGCAATATTATCCATTCCATTCACGTACTCTGACTGCACTTGACACAGCAATGAGGTGGATTGAATGTCAGCCAAGAAAAAAATTCAGATGCAATTCAATTCCTTACTCGACTGGAGGTACGTGACTTTGCAACATGGGCAAGAATTGATGGAATAAGTGTTTGAAAGTAAAAGTCACTGGGCTTATTTATTGTCTGTTGCAAAGGCTCACCTTTTAATACTGGAAATAGTCACTTTTTGGAAAGAAGTTTACAGCATAAAAACCACACATCTATGTAAATGTGCCAATAACACATTTTCATTTTATCTTACATTAATAGGTTTTTCTGTCAAGATGATTCTCATAGGACCCCTGGTGTTGAACTACTGAAGAAAACAAAAACACCTCTTCTCTATTCAATAGACTCAAGGTCTTCCAATTCTGATTATGTCTTTAAAGATTCAAAACCACCTGAACCAATGTCTTCTACTCAACATTTGTGATGTGCTAACAGTCACAATTCTAAAGCAAGTCATCTTTTGAATGTACAGACCATTCCCACACACACTTAAATAAAGTCCATTTCTAAGTAATCTGAGGACAGCAAATTGGAAAAAATTCTCCATCTTCTGCAAGAACTGCTTTACAATACCCATACTGTCACCTTTTCATTGAACTTGAAGAGAGCATTGGAAACATAAACAGAGCTCTTGCCACTGCAAGGAAAGCTCCTGCTCTCTCCTGGGCTGGGTGACAGTCTGCATAGCAAAGACGCAGGCTGAGGAGCACAGGGCTGCAAGTCAACCTGAGAGCCCGGCCATCTGCCAGCAGTCGCTCAAGACAGGGAATGCCAACTGCATTCGGAGCGGCCAGCCAGGCTCAGGACTTCATTTCAGCCGAGTACGCTCTCCTAGCCCCACGCAGCCATCGAGGGTCTCTCCTGGATGACAACACAAGGGGTGCATGTGGCAAAAAGGGAGAAGGTCTTTTCCTAAAAGTAACCTATGCCATTTATTTATAATGAAATTTATTGCTGCGCATAGCTTGAAGATTTAATTTTCTTTACTGAAGTTATTTTACCGTTACTCAGCTCTTTCCTATCTCTCTCTTCCATTTCCTTTCCTGATCTTTTCAATTCTCACTAGCAACTGAGTTCACTCCCTCCCCTCCCTCTAAGGCATCCAGAATAGGAAATTTAACAATGAGTCAAAATTGGCATGACAATTCTCACTCAAGACTCCTAAAGACTTAAGCAGGCATATTGCTGGGTCTGCACCTCTGCAGCTGTGATATTTCAAGATATGACTTTGCACATTTTTGAGGCTGTAGTAACTAGTCAGACTCAAGTCCTAGATCATACACACATGTGGCAACCTAAGGCATGCACAGCACAGGAGCTGAAGAGCTGATCACCTAGCACAGCCAAGCCAAGATTTAGTAACTCTAGACTGGCTGCAGACAACTTCCAATGCATGCATGGAAATACCCAATCCACCATATGTCTAAGGGGATCCTTCATAGAAAATCTGGAATTTCTAGGACTCTCTTTAGCCCTCCACTTCTCTTCTCCAGGAGGAAAAGAAACAGTGGACCATCATCACACATTTTTGAAGTGAGTTTTGTAAATTGTGCCAACGTTTTTTCCTAGAAAAGCACGAAGAAAACAAAAGTACCAAGAGCAAAATTTATGCACCAGCATAGAGAGGTGCACTTCTCAGTTGTATTCTGGGGACGTGTCAAGAGCAACGAAAATTTAGCACAGACACCAGCCTCATGACTGAGCTCTTACTGCAACTCTGCGATAAATACCAGTTCCACTGTATTATGAATCACTGCTCCCTATCACACCTGAAATACATTCAGATTAGCATGCTGTGCACTCAGGCAGCTGGAGAGGTGTCAAAATCTGTAAGACTGGTCTTCTTTATTTTTACTACTTACAATTCTGAGCACTAATCGTAGTTTAGTTCTGTTTCACAGAAGATAAGGCTACAGAAGGCTACTTCTGCCTTATTTTACCTCATTATCTGTATCACCTACTTTTCTTAGGCAAAATAGTCGTATTTCTTTTTATCCACTATTTAACACTTTCTAAATTAATTTATTTACAATAGTTGCCAACCAACAGAACATCCATTCACTCGGAACAAGCTATGATGATGCTATCATTTCCTGTGAGGGCTAACGAACCTACTGGAATCACTTAATTACTTTTGTAAAGAGAATGATCACCCATTCGAGGGCTTCATTTCGCACCATTACAAATCGAGTAGGAGACAGCAGCGCGGCAAGAACAACCACACGAGCTACAGGTCCGAGCTATGCTTTCATAGCTTGCAAGACAGCTACCTGTACCTCCAGTGACTCCAAATTACTCAAGTCTTCAGCTGGAACTGAATTCGGAGGATCTGCTGAAAGTACCCCAAAGTTAAGAGCCCTTGCAAAGCTGGGCAAATCAAAGTCAGAACGTGATACCGAAGGGCCAGCACGACACCTTAACAGGGGAAGGGCCGACAGCTCCGGGCAAGCGCAGCAGTAACCAGGCTGTCCCAGCGCGCACGCCGGTGCCGGTGTCCCGCCGCCCGCACAGCTGTGGCCCAGGTTTAGTGCTCGCTGTGCCGGTCCCTCACCGCACCGCAGGAAGGCGAGCACGGCGCCGCCGCCGCCCTCCCCCGGCCCAAGCACGCCGAGAGCTGTGCCGGGAAGCCGGGGCCTGGCGGAAGCCCCCGGTGAGGAGCCGCAGGGCGGGCAAAATCACAGGGGGTGTGCCCGGTGTGTTGCGAGCTCCGGACCCGAAGGCTGCGCGGATACCAGCGCTCGGCAGCACCGGGGGCCGTGGGGCGCCGCCGCCGCCCGAGCAATCCCCGCAAAGGGCGCGGGCCCGCGCCCGCCAGGAGGGCGGCGGGGCACGGCGGAGCGGCGCGCGGCGGGCGGGGCGCGCGGCCGTACCTTGATGATCCTGCGGGGCAGCCCGGCCATCTTGTCTCGTCGGTGCAGGCTCGGGGCGCGCCTCCGCTCGGGGCGCGCGCACGGCCGGAAAGACCCTCGCCGCGCTTCCTGTGGCACCGCCCTGCGCGCGTGACGCCGGGAAATGTAGGATGAAGGGATCGGCGCGCGGGGGCGGCCCCGGCGCGGGCACAATGGAGCCCTGGGCACGGGGAGTGCGCTGGCAGCGAGGAACGCCTGCCCGGCCCTGGCTTTTGGCTTCTGTGAGTGTCCCTAAAGCCGTCTCAAAGGTCCCTTAGAGCACCGGTACCTAAGAGACAAAGAGCTACTGACAGAGCCTTCAAAGGGCCACAAAGGCGATGAGCGGTCTGGCACATCTCTAACGAGGAGAGACTGAGGGAGCTGGGCCTGTTGAGTCTAGAGAGGAAAAGACAGAAGGGATCTGAGCAATACATAAAAATATTGCAAAGGTAGGTATCAAGAGAATAGTGACAGACTATTTTCAGTGGTGCCCAGTGACAGGACAAAGAGCAAGGGCCATAAACTAAAACACAAGAAGTTTCGTTTCAACATGAGGACGAACTTCTGGAGGCTGAGGGTGGCAGAGACTGGAAGGGGCTGCCCGGGGAGGGTGTGGAGTCTCCCTCTCTGGAGACATTCCAAACCCACCTGGACATGTTCCTGTGTCACCTGCTCCTAGTGACCCTGCCTTGGCAGGGAGGTTGGAAATAGGATCTTCCAGCCCTAACAATTCTGTGATCTTTGTCTTAATAACACCTGGTTAGCGAGCCTCCTTTTTCAGCAGAAAGAGGAATATCGTAAACGTTGGAGTATAATCACTGCATGAGCATACTAGGACAGCTGCATAGTAACATCTAAGAATGTGCATCATTATTTATGGGAAACAAAGGCACAGAAAAATGAACTAATTTCCCATAGCTTTCTCAGCAGGCCAACAGCACAGCCAGGAATAGAACCCTATGTACGTATAATTCCCTGTCAAATGTTTTCTTCCGGTTTAAAACAGGACATAATTTCTGTGTACTCTGGTAAAAAGTAAAGTTCTCTGGCAATGGCAAATCCAGGAGAAAGACTCCATGACTCCAACACTTATTTAGATACCAAAGCATCTTCACTGGGCCATACCCTCAAGACAAAAGTAATTGGAAAATCATGTATTTTGTTACAGTGCATGCTGAATTGTTTCTCTTTGTTTCTGTCTTCACCTCTTTTTGTTTTTTTTCTTTTACACTTCTCCGAGAATATTGTCCATTAGAGGACTGGCATATATGGAAGAAAACATGGGCCAAAAGTTTCTTGAAAGTCTGTGTAATGCAACGACAGAGTGAAACACGGTTGGCTCCAATAAATGCTCATCAGTGTTGAATTCAGTGGCCCCTTTCAAGTGTTGTAGACCAGGAATCTTGCTTCAGTCAGAAACTGCAGCAAGTTAATCTGGCTTATTATGTTTTGACAGCTTTTGTTGCACAACAAGTGGTCTGTCACATCCTGGGAGTTTTCATTATGATACATCTCCTAGCTTTTATGAAAGGGCTTTTGAAGTCCACTTGATCAGGAGATGGCAGTGAACAAAAACATTGATTTCTGTTGTCCTGTGTACAAAGATTTAGATTGTTCCCCTAAGCCATTTTAGCTCCCAGAAGGATTGCTGCAGAGATCCCTGAGTATTGGGCTGGAAAAGCCATCCAAACTGGCTACTCCAGAATACCAGCTAGAGACTGTCACCTGTAGTCCCCATTCAAATGGGCATTCATTCCTACAGCCCAACTCCACCAAGGCCTGCCTCCACAGTGGTTACTGAGTGTGTAGTTTCATGTCAAGGGCACACCACTTTTTATTTGCATGGCTGTTCAGAGGGCTGCTGCCCTCCTCCTCTGCCACACTACTGTTTGTGTAGTTTCATGTCAAGGGCACACTACTTTTATTTGCATGGCTGTTCAGAGGGCTGCTGCCCTCCTCCTCTGCCACACTACTGTTCCCTCAGCTGACACCATGATCTCAGCTAAGAAGAGCTGATCAAAAGCACAAATGGTTCCTGGGTGAGCTGCTGTGAACCACGGGCACACAGCTGTACAGGTGAGGCATAAACAAGGACAGGAACCCGTGCCTGAGGGTGTGAGAAAAGGACAGTCTATAGTTCTCTGTTTTAGGGGTAGTGTGAAACCACATACTTGAGGTTAAGTTAGACCAAATAGCTGAGTCAATCTTAAAAAGAGGGCTTCTTTCTTCCCTTTCCCATCTCACTCCTCCCTTCCTTCCTTACACATGGCATTTTCCCTGCTGTTCATTCTGAGCTGATGCAATACACTAACTTGACAGAAAAACAGCCATTCAGTCTAGGCCTCTGCTGGACTGGTGAACTGGTTTGTCTTACAGTGGGGTCTGGCAAGCCCCAGACAACAAGAGGCAATAGAAGTGGGAGTGAAATTGTACTGATGGTGTCCATGAGTAATTAACTCAGCTTTGGATGCCCCTCAGCCCTTTGGAGAAGCTGCAGGAAGCACTGAGGTCCTGCTCCCCTTCCCTGCCCTGTAGTCCTGATCCACTCTTGTTATTGGTATCTATCTACTGGGGTAGAGGGGGTTGTTGTTGGGGGTGTTTTTTTGCTAAGTTACCCTTCTGACCAGCTCCCTGAGGCATCAGAGCTGGCACAAGAGAAGCAGCAGGAAGCAGAGTGGGATGGTGCAGGTGCAGGACCATCCCTTCCCACAGCAGTGAGCTGTTCTGTTGGCTGAGCCAATCTCATCCCACTGCACCACTGCAAATGCCGGGATGGAGAGAGTGCTCTCCCCCAAATCTGTGATTATCACACCACTGCCAGCATTACAGTGGCCCTAAGAACAAAGTTAGGCAGTCCCACTGCACCACTGCAAACGCCGGGATGGAGAGAGAGCACAGTGCTCTCCCCCAAATCTGTGATTATCACACCACTGCCAGCATTACAGTGGCCCTAAGAACAAAGTTAGGCAACCACCTTATTCACCAACAAAGTGTTCTATAATGCTCCTATAGGCAAGGAAGGTGAAGAAGTAATTGCAATTAGGCAATTAATACACCCAGAACAATTCAATACAGCTGCTGACCATCTTCCTGTGACAGCTTCTGGTGTCATCAAATTATCATCTAATTACTCACTGAGTGGTGCATCCAGGCCAGCTGAGCCTGTGGCTGACTAATCTTATTTCCTCCTCCTAGCCCTCTTTGCGATCTTATAGAAGTTTTACTATAATTACAACTCTCTTTCAAACCCAGATTCTTTATTTTTGCATAAAAGCATTTCTATATTTTACCAAGTATTGTAGAAAATCTGTTCTACAGCAAAAACCAGATGTATGTATGTACACATACAGAATGAATATTCACAGTAATATCCAAATTTTATATTAAAAATGTTCAGTAAATCCCAGAGTAATTTCACAAGAGTTGTATGATGCCTGTGTACAAAAGGGAAAACTAAGGCATAGAAGTGCAGTGTTTTTCATTTAGCAGTAATTTTAAGTGTCATTGGACAATTTCAGAATTATCTGAACTGGCAGGACTGGGTGAAATTGTACTGAGAGAAGAAAAAAGTCCCACCAGTTTTACCAACTTAGAACATCAAAATAGGATGCTATGAGTAGGAGCCTTCATTGTAGCAAATAATTTTTGATTTGTTTTTTTCATTAAGTAGCTGCTTGAATAAAGACAATATTGTTTTCTTGAACTATGGTAATCAACAGGAACACAAATTATTTAGGCTGCATGTGACTGCTGAGGCACTGTAGTTTTGTCATCTGTTATTTACAGTTTCAGCTTCCTCCTTATCAGTAACAGGATGGACCAGTGATGAGATGGTGTGAGATATGCTAAAGAATAAAGAGGGCCTACTGACATAAGCCTTGATGTTTACTCTGGGTGTAAGACTGACTTAAGACAGAAATCTGTCTGTCGACAACAGAACTTGAGAAAACTTTAGAATTAAGATCATAATTAAACTACAGTGTCTCATTAGAAATTTGATTTCTACATTTATAGGATAATCTCACAGAAATTAAGATACAGCATTTCAGGAGCAGAGATCTGTCCATCCCCATTGTTAAGACACAACCTTTGCAATGAAACACATTCATCCATTCACAAATTCAGGTCAACTTCTAGGTATGATTGTGTCATACCTTGCCAGTTTAAAAGGAAATAAAGGAAGCCAAATGCTTATTCCTAGGAATATTTTGAAACATTGGTTTCTATTAAAACAATAAATGTGTATTATATTCAGTTTGCCAATGATCTAACCTGAATGATTTTCCTAAGAAACAATTTCCTAAATATGCCACTGCAGCAAAAGAGCTAGAACAGCCAGGTCCTAATTTTCCATTTCTCAGAAGGGCTCTCTGTGTGTGTGTGTGCAACTGCTCACACAAAACCCATGCCAGTGCAGATGATATCACTGATTTATAAATTTGTTCTTCTAAAACAGAGCCAACCAACATAGTCCTGCCCTCATCACTACATAGCGTTTGCAGCCTGACTACAGCTCAGCCATCTGATCAGCTGGAGCATTTCCTGGAGAAGTTTGTAATTGACTGTTGGAGTAAGAGCAGGTTGGTGGTTTATCTTCATTAAGAGAGCAACCTAGAAACAAAACTTTCCAGGTTTCCAGAGACATGAAGTCCCAGAGGTCTGGAACTCAGCAGTAGTGCCTCCATAGTATCTCCAGAGGTAAAGGAAAGAGCAGCCTTCCTGCTGAGTGAATACAGACGGAGCGACTCCCCTCTTTGCTGACTACAAGCTGCTGAGGCAGGCAAGGGCCTTGGCAGTTATTAATAACCCCATCTCCAGACATGCTGGAGAAGTGTGTAGTCACGCTTCTGAGCTGTCCTTAAGCAATTCCCATCTCCCTTTGGAAAGCTGTAATCTGTCAGAACATGCTGCTAAGAATACACTTGCAGAACATTATGCGTCAGGGAGGGGGTAGACCTCATCTACTATCTCCTAAAAATCTTTTTATAGAAACCACCTAAAAATAGCCTGGAAGCCTAACAGGGTATGTGGTTCAGCTTTTAAAAAATAAAAAGAAAAGTTCTGTGGTACCTTCAATTGCAGCTTCTCAGAACTAGGATTTAAGTTACAAGATTTGTCATTACAGGGATGTTCTAAAAGCACACATTGCCAGAATAAAATCCTTACAGAAAAAAGTATGTCATTGAAAACAAGCAGTACAGACTGTAGCTTCAAATTAAAGCTTTTGTTGATCTTTACAATCTCATTAATGAATTAGCTTCATAGCCATAAACAACTCAATGCCACCGGCCTATAATATCCCAGCATTAGGAGACTTTTGGTCACATTCATCAGGAACATTAGAAACTGCACTTTTTCAAACTTGTGTCTGAGGAGAGCACACATACCTGCAAGTACGTGTCTGTATGCAGTCCTCAGGAGGTACAAATGGCACTGAAGAGTAAAAATTGTCTTTATTAAAGCAAATAAATTTATGTAGGAAACAGTAATGTAGGGGTACCACAGAAGTCTTATATTGTAATCATGACTAGTATACTCAAGCATATCAAGTTTTAGTATTTTGTATTGGGAGGCAATCTCTAAGGGGCTAGGGAGGTTTTTAATTTTTTTTTTAGAAGTTGCAGCTCCATATAGAGAAGATTTTTAGAAAGTGTCTTGCACTGGAAAAAGAAACAGGTGAAATTTACAGTGGTCTTCTGTTGTGAAAGGAGTTAATTTCAAGTATTCCAATGCACAGCAAAGAATTTTTGTCTTCTGCATGGGTGAAAAATGTCCTTTTGAGAAAGCAGCTAAGAATGAGAGTTGTCAACTATAGTCATCATAATCCCTGAGTTTAGGCAATCTTTTAAAGAAGCTATGACAATTAAGTTATAAGCATCTTTGAGAAAATTCAGAGAAGCCTTAATTTTACTTAGTATTTCCTAGGAAGGAAATGAAGACCTAATGTACTTGTCAGAGGTTCACACACAAACACTCACAAGTAGCACACATTGCATTTGCATACAGGTGTGTCACACTGCAGCTGACCAGGAGAAAGTCAAGAATCCTGAGCAGTTTCCACATTGTCACAAATTGCTCCTGAAAACACTGACTTTTAAATAACGCTGTTTACCCCCACTATGCCTATGGACATATTCCTGAAGCTCACTCTTTAAATGAAAATTCATTCCTTTCTTTTAATTTCCAGAGTGCACTTGTTTCAGACAGTTTATTGCCATTTTATTTTTTCAGCACTCAGTCCTTGAGTTTAAAATCCTCAGAGTGTTTTATCTGTCCATCAGTAGAACCACTGTCTTGCTTGTATTGGACGATTTCTTCATTGTATAGGATGCTGCCCTCATCCTATACAGTACAAGGACTTCCTTGTGGGAATCATAAGCTAGTACACAGCAGAAAATACATAGAACTGTGTTGCTTCTGTTTGGTGCATGAGCCCAGATCAGATGCCTCTGTATCTGCACACAGAAACTTGCTGGAATTACAAAGTGAGTTGTCTCCACAAATCTGGAGGAGCTTTGTAGTGGAGCTGTGATTTCTCACCTTGGTTGCATCTCTCTAAGTAGTATGTAACACATTTGGGCCCATCTCTGCCCCCTTTTTCTATGGTGTAATGAATCTAATATTGCAGGGAGCCCCAAAATGGAGGTCTTCCATCTTCCTTCATATAGAAGAATACTCAAGAAGAAACCTTTGTCAGCACTACTGGGAGTGATCAACTCCTGACTACTGATTTCTGGCTATACTTCTGCTATACTGCTAGAAATTATCAGTGTAACTACAACTCTGCAACTACAGACTAAAGTTAAACATTGCTGAAACTGTGAGGCTTTCACTGATGACAACACGAAATTGCAGTGCCACACTCAATGACCAGAAAAGATGCAAACATTGGAAGCCTTCTGGAAGAGGTTGCAGCCTTTGAGGAGACACTAACCAAGAGTGTCCAAAAGGATAATGCTGTGAATGCAGGAATGGAGACACAGTCTGCTGATGTGACTTAGAGGCTTTGTGGATGTGTAAATGCCTAAAGTGTTGGAGCCATTCCAGATACTAGAGCAGCAGGTCAGACAATTGATTTTTGTCTTTTCTTCTTGTCTTTTATCAATGTTGTGTAAACATAACCTTGTCTTTCAAACACTTTGTGACTCAGTCTATGAAAGAAGTACAGCAGATAGCCCCAGAGCAGCAGTGTGCCTGAGACATTCAGGTGAGTTTTCTGTATGCCTTGAATATTGGAAACGTGCAATTTCATCAACATAAAATCCACAGGCCTTCCCTGTGGAAGATTGTTACAGGTACTGTGAAGATCTGGCTGGCTGAACAGAGGAAGCTGCTGCAGCCACTGTGTAATTTAAGCTGGAAAGCAAGCAGACTATGCTTGCAAGTTTCTGAAATAACCAATAATGTTAGAGATGTCCCTTCGAATTATGGGATTGGAGGGAGTTATTTTGCAGCTAATATAAGACTGTGGCACGCTGGCACATTCCCAGGACCAGCAGGTGCACTGCTGCCTGTAGCGAGGGCGTTGTGCCCCCTCCCTCAGCTGAACAGCTGCTGCCAATGCTGAGGCTGCCTCCGTGCTCCACTGTGGGTTTGAGCTCCCAAGACTCTCCCAGCACGGGGACCGCCAGAGTGAGCAGTCGGTGTTTGACCCAGGGTCCCATGAGGAGCAGCTGGGGGTGTTTGGCCTGGAGGAGCCTCGGAGCCTCTTCATTCTCCACAACCACCTGAAAAGAGGTTGTAATAAGGTGGGGGTTGTGACAGTGTTGTCCACAGTGGCTAACTAATTCATTTATTGCACACCAGGTAATGAATCTAGGTTCTTGTGGACAACAGCACAAGAGGAAGTGGCCTCAAGCCACGGAGGTTATGAGGAGTTCTTCCACAGGAACGAGTGTTAAACGTTGGAACAGGTTCCCCAGAGAGGTGGTGGAGCATCACTGGAGGTGTTCAAGAAATGACCGGACATGGCGCTTACTGCCATGGCCTAGGTCTCAAGGTGTAGATGGGTCAAAGATTGGACTGGATGATTTCAGAGGTCTTTCCAACCTAACCGATTCCGTGAATATGTGTTTGTGTGTCCGCTTGCTTCCCGAACCGGCCAGGCACCGCTGCCCTTCCTGCAGCCATATTACGAAGGGGCTGAGGGATTGTCTCCGGTGCCGGAGCAGCGCTGAGGGAGGCGGCGCGGTGCCCGCACTACGAGTCCCGGCGTGCCGCGGGCCGAGCCGCCGCCGGAGCCGGAAGGGGCGCGGGCGCCGCTTCCGCCGCGGGGCCGGGCGGGGCCGGCAGTGCCCGCGGGGAGCGCCGGGCCGGGGACGGGAACGGGGATCCTCTGCGTGCGCTCGGAGCGGCTGAGCCTGTGCGGCACGCTCGGCACTTTTATAACGGGTACGCTTGCGTGCTCTGACGGCGTAGTGGCTTTGTTCGTAGTGCCGAATATCTTCGTTAGCTCTAAGCCTGGGGTTCCGTGTTCCCGCGTGTCGCTGGCGCACGCCTTGGAGGTTCCTGGGCGCTGTCCCAGGAATGGGGCTGTTCCCGTTCCAACTGGAGCGGTCTCGCAGTGGGGCCGGGAACGGGCTGACCCCTGTCCTCGGAGCGGGATCCGCCGCGTTCCTCGCGCCCTTTGTGGTAATGAGCTCCTGAGGGCAGGTTATGAGCAGCTCTGTAGGTGTTGGTGCTCCCCTGACTTCAGCAGCACTGGCATACATAAAAAGAATGCCCAATAATTACATGTCGAAATTGGAAAAATATGAAGTACTTTCAAAAGGTTCTTGTTTCTTTCTTTCTTTTTTTTTAATATGTATGTCTTTAAAATGTTTCCAATTACATTTTTTTACGTTTCATTATAAGTTTCTATTTAAAGCAATTTTTTTTTCAATAGACAGTGAAAACATAAGGTGTCCTGCTTCTGTGAAATTTTGGGTAACATTTAAGGTATTCTAAATGGTGTTTCTGAGTTTTCAGGTGTATTGCTGAGATGGATGAAACTGATTAACTGCATTTGGAGAGTTTTTTAACTCCAGCAAGTGTAGTCTATAAATATTCCTATTTTTGTACTGGTTGACGATATTTACTGTTGTTATATATTTATTGTTAACAAGAAAAGCATATTTCATGAGTAGTTTTATGGAAAGTGCAGAAGGATGCAAATTTTAGGTGGGTGAGTACCAGTAGAAAAGCCTGTGAGAAGTCACAGGCCTGGAAGCTTTTTTTTTAAAGCTGAACCTTCAAAGACTCTCAGTAAATAAAGTCTTGTGCTATTTTTGACTGTTAAGGAGACAGGTACCATTATCCTAAGTGATAAGGACTTCTGAACAATTGACAATGAAGAATTATGTTGCACTTTATTTTTTTTTCCTTAAGATATTCAAGAAACTTAATTGTTAGTCTTTTGTATCCCGAATAGTTACGAAACTGGTTTCTTTCACAGGGTGTTCTGCAGAGAAAAAGTTCTTTGAGTTCCATCTTGTGCAGGACTGGTTTCCTCTCTGCTGTCACCATGGCAATGTCACTTAGAGCTGCATGGCCCAGCCTCCTTTGGATGCGTTCAGCTGCAACCTGTAAGCAGGTCCCACTGCAGAGTAAGTAGTGATGCAATTGTGGAAGTCCTATATTAAAATTTGTTCCTTGAGAACCTCTTTCCTGTACTGTTTAAAGTAATGGAAACATGGAAGTGATTTTTCTGTTTGAACAGAGAATCAAGTCTCTTAGTCTGTGCTGTGTTCTAATAGTAATCTAAAGGATATCTTTATTTGTTTTTTTCTTTTTTTGTGCTTTTAAAACTTTCATGGTCCAAGTAGGATGCTCCCCAAATTTATTGATTAGCTTGTAAATACTACCCTCTTACACTGATTATCATTGAAGATTTAAATTGATTTTTTCAGATTTAGAAAAGTGGTGAGAAAAGGCTACAGTAAAATCTCATTACTTAACATAAGCAGAGAAGAAGTAGAAACAGGCAGTACTATTTATTAGATTTTTGTCCATGTTTTAGATGTCAATAGAAAGACATAGAGAATATAGTAAAGGTGGTAGAAAAGATAGTAATGGAGAAAATAGAATAGAGATGTTACATTTTAGAGGGAAGTGGGCAAGGTAGGAAAGAAATTTTAGGAAGACATACAAACAAGCTGCAGTTTACTAGAACTCAACTCCTTAATAACTAAGAATAGTTCAATTAGAAGAACTGAAGAGTGGAAGTGCTAACAGTAATTCTGAATTTGAGAGTTTGCATCTAAAATATTTCTGAGAGGACAATAGCTACACAAAATTTTCTTCTTGGCTTTTTCAGCCTTTGCAGTCTTGACAATGAATCCTCTCTCCCTGTTGTAGGAGTAGCCATGAAGAATCCTACTTGTATTAAAAGATTGTCTAAATAAAATAATGTCAGATAAAGTTGAAACCTTTTTATAACTTAACAGAAAGCTCAGAATATGTGAAGACTTGTTTCTTGTGATCATAATTGTGTTCTAAAAGCGTAGTTGTTGAAAAAGCTTTACAGGACACAGAAACTTCCATGTGCATTTGTCTCAGGTTGTGGCAATAAAGGAAGGGGGTTCTCAGTGGCAGTCACCTCCAGGCACATCCCTGCCCTGGGCCTGCATGCCTGCGTTGTTGTGGAAAGCAGTGCCTACAGGATGATGCCTGTGTGAGGGGCTAGTGAACACCTTGTGTTAGTTGTGTTTGGACTCTGTGACCTTTAAAGTCTTTTCCAACCTAAACTGTTCTATGATTCTATTAAAAAATGGGAATCAAACCATGGGGAAGGGACTTTGAGTGGTCTGTGATCCAAGCTCCTGCTCAAAGCAGGGTCAGCTCTGCAGTCATACCGGGTTGCTCAGGGCTGGCTGGGTCTTTGAAATCTCCAAGGACAGATCTCACAAACCTGCCTGAGTCTGAATCTCCCTGGCTGGCTGTCCTCATGAGGAAAACATTTCTCTACATATCCAGTCAGAGCCCCTCCTTTTGATTTTTATAATAAATATTGCTATGAATGAAATTACACCCTTCCCTCTAAGTCCTAAGGTTCTTTACTTATATAAAGGATATTTCCTAATGGTGAATTCGGTAGGTGTGTTGTTCATATAGTGATTTCACTCAGGAAAACAATACATCTAGGAAGGTAAGTATAGGTCATAGCTGCCTGGATACTGTGTTTTTTTATTACACTGCTAGAAAGCTGTGTACTAAAAATGAACTTCTTTTTAGAGAGTATTTGCATTATGTTAATCTAAAACTGAATATGATTATAATCCCTGATTAAGACACAATGAAAATTGAAAATGTAAACATTGTTAATTGGGCACAGCTCTTCTTGTTTCCACATTAGAGTTCTTTACTTGGGTTTTATTGCAGATGGAGCTGTGTATCATGCTTGCCATAAATCTACTTACTCAGTTCTCCCTGAAGACTACAACTGGTATGTAAACATGCTTTGATGTGTGGCCTTTTCATGTAATGTTCCAGGGCTACTTTCTCTCTCTGACCTGAAGTCATCATATAATAGTATCAAACACATCTATTACCAGTATTGGATATATGTAATAATATCAGCTAAAGTACTGTCTCTGATAGTAATGATTGTGAAGTTAATGTTTCCATGTAATGAAAAGTCATGCAGGACTCATGCTAAACATGTTGATGACTCCCAGTACCTCTGCAGTTTTGTTTGTGGAAGAACAAAATTAAAGTAGTAATTTCCATTGTTAAGACAAAAGGTGCAGGTGTTTTTGTGCTACTGCACGGGAAACCTGTGTAGAAATGGGAAAAGAGGATACAAATATAGTGAGAAACACTGAATTCATGGCACCACAGTTTTAGGAAGCTAAATGTGTCATGGGAAGGGGAAGGAAGGTGAGAAAAGTTACATTCTCACAATGAAACTCTCAGTAGGACTTCTTGTCCAGCATTTTTTACGTAACAGAAAAGTTAGAACCCCAAACAGAGCTTTGTTTCCTGTTATTTCATTGCAGATGCCATACATCTTATCAAGCCATGCTGTCCTAGAGATCATTATCCCCATCTGTTTAGATTTTTATATGCAACTATTTTGTGTGTTTAGGATTTTTTTTCCAACTCATATTTCCAGCTATTTTAATAATTTATTTTAGCCCCTTTTTTCTTCTCCATCGAAAAAGGAAGATGACTGAGGAAACAAAAACTGAGGTTTGGATCAAATATTTATGACCCTTATTTTATAGAAGATTATTAAGGATTCATAAATGCAGGGTCAAATCCAGTTTTCTTTGGGACATGGGCTGCTCAGCTGTTCAGTACTTGTGAAAGTTATGAGTTTTTTTTTTTTTATTTTGATAGCAAAGTGGAACTTGCAGTGACATCTGATTCGAAGACAATTGTCTGCTACCACCCTTCGCTTGAGATTCCATACGAGCATACAAAAGTATGTCCAAGTATGCACATTTATATTTCTTACTCTTGTAAAGGCATTTAGTAATTCATAGGTTTGAGTCTTTAAAGCATCTTTTTTTAATTTGAAATACTTTTTAGTATGTGATCAGCACATCTGTGAAGTAAATGACTGATGAATATAGCTGCTGCCACAAGGAGAAATTTACTCTTAGTTGAATTGAGGGAAGGTTACAGAGTGAGAAAGGTATCACAGCATACAGAAGCTTTAGTAGAATTAAAGAAGGTACTAAAACACTTGTGCACTACAGAGAAAATAGTGTCTGTCTACATGGGTACTACTCAGAGAGGATGATTGGAATGCAGGTTATGGTTCACATGTCCTACTGCACAAGAGAATACAAAGAAATACTGCTGCTACTGTTTTCAACTTGAACTTTAAGTTCCATTCAGCACTGAGTTCATAAAAGCCACAAAGAACTTTAAATATCAATTTTTATCTATCAGTAGTACTTTCAATGTGTTTACATTGATGAAAATAAATCTAGTGTTGTGGTTTAACACCTAGATAAATTTTTATAGTGTACACTTGTTTGAATTTCCAGTTCTCACGTGCTAGTAAAATACCCAGCTGGCAGCTGTGTTGCTAAAGTACCCAGTGTGAAAATTCTCCATTGAAACCTAAGCCATTTTAGCACTTTTTGCCTGCAAATTACATAGCAGTATTTTTAAATCTGTCAGTTGCACATACCTCAAGAAAAACAGGTGTAAAAGGCTAAAATAAGGGAAAATACATATAATAGTAGTAGTAGTAGTAGTAGTTATGTTCCCAATTGAAAACAAACAACTTGGTTTTACCTGTTGCATAAAAAATTAGAAGTGACATTCTTCTCAAAGGTACATGTCCTGTAAAAGATTTTTAGCAATAATGGTTGTGGTTGTGTTCGAGGGTCTCCAGGATGAGAATCTTGACTCCATGTTTCAGAAGGCTGATTTATTATATTATAAATAATATTATTTATTAAAGTATATTAAAATGCTATACTAAAACTATACTAAAAAGAATAGAGAGAAAGGATCCATCAGAAAGCTAGAAAGGAATAGAATGGAATGAATAATAAAAACCCGTGACTCAGAGAGTCGGACACATTTGGACCATGGTTGGTCATTAAGTAGAAACAGTTCACATGGACCAATCAATGATGCACCTGTTGATAAACAACCTCTAGACCATATGCCACAGCCATCAGTTAATTGTTTACATTTCTTTTCTGAGGCTTCTCAGCTAGAATAGGACAAAAATCCTAGCAAATGATTTTCATAAAATATCACAGTGACAGATGATGGTTGCTGTGAATAAAATTCTGACTGGGAATGGTTTGGATACTTTTGTGTTAGTGGAACTGAAGCTGATGATTCAGCTAGTGAATTGTAAGATTGAGATCTGCAACAAGGACTACAGGAATGCTGGTTTTAGGGGTAGGGTCATCAGCTGTAGAACCTAGGGTAAATAGGTGTGGCTGGACATATCTGCTCCACGGTGGTGTGGTTTCATTTGGGGGGGGAAGGTGGGGACAATAAACAGCCAGTGCAATTGCAGGAGTTTTTCTGTATTTTTTTTGTTCCGGCTGTTAGATAGCATTACAGATTACTTCTATGTAGCTTGGCTTTTTTACTTTCTCAATTAAATTAAACAAGGAGAAACAGGACATACAAATACATTATTGTTTTGCTAGCCCATACCACGGCCAGATCCAGTGAATAATAAAGAAGAAAACCTTGATCAAGTCTTAAAATCCAGATTGGATGAAAAAGAGCTAAGGAACAGTAGAGGTCCTACAATTGAAGAGCTCAGCAAAATGTTTTACACAACAAAACATCGTTGGTATCCTGTGGGACAGTAAGTGTTTTCAATTTGTCTGTTCTCTTGGAAGTAAAGGGAAATACAGGAATAATGTAATGACCAGGTTCAACCTAGGATGAGTCACGTCAGACAAGATGCCTCTAGCATTTGGGCTGCTACATAAAATTTTCAATGCAGTGTTGGATAAATGGAAGACTGTATTTAATGAGGGTTTTTTTAAACACTGCTCCTTTGATAGACTTTGCCACTTTTTTTCTGTAAAATATGTGACAGTGTAGAAATTTCTCATACATCCAGTTAGCTACTGCTTTGAGTAATTTACTAAGTTCCATACCAGAATCTAATATGTAAAATACCCTCAATGGACATAACCAATTATAGCTTGGAAACATGCATTGCCTATTCCTTAGCAACCTCAATGGGATGATTCTCAGAACTTAACAGTAGAGGTTTTTAATTTGGAAAGGTGAAAAGTGCTCTTTGGTGTGCCCTGTATTCAGAAATGGAGGAGAGGTGCACATATACATGATTGAGCTTAAAGAAGAACTCTGGGCATTCAGGTATACTAATGTAAACAAGCAGCATTCTGGTGTGTGTTACACCCTTCCACTCCATGTTACATCATCTTTTGATAGCTGCTAATTTTATAGCTATGGAAACATTATACAGGCAAATTTTGTTGTTGTTGTTGTCCATAGAAAACTTTTTAATTAATGTGCTTTGGGAGTAGATATAAGGAATGGAAAGATAGGACTTTTATGACCAAAGGGTAGCTGTCACTTTGATGAAGATCAGACAGGATCTGCCTTGTTTAGCATGCATAATTATGAGGAAAGTATGGTTCATTATTTGTTCAGAATAATTTGGTTTTTAGTTTTTCTGCAAAATATTACACTATTTAACATACAGTCTGGCACAGCTCCTTTGAACATCTTTGTTCTGTAGCAATCATTTTAGCCAAAGGCAAGGCTGACCATGTAATAAAATTAACTTCACACAAAGGATTAAGAATAAACAGCAGCCTTTGTGCCTATTCAGCTCTAGAACTGATTGGATTATTGCGTGCTTGTAGCAGATGTAGCAATAGAAATGAGTAGCATTATGTAACTCCACAAACAACAGAGATGACATCTAATGAGTGGTGATGGATTGTGCTCATGTATCTTGTATTTCACTTCCTTGTGTAACCTCAGATGGGGGCAGAAATACCACAAAAATAAAGGCTGTCCACAGCTTGCACTCACTGCAACGTTTTTTTTTTCTTTTAGGTATCATAGAAGACGCAAGAATCCTAATCCTCCTAAAGACCGATAACAAAGAGAACTTCTTGTTCATCAGGACTTTGCTGTTAATTTTGATTGGAAATAAAAGTTACAGAAGGTGACATGTTTGGCTGTAATAGAACATGATTTGACTTTTATTTTCTACTAAAAGCAGCTAAACAACACTGACAAAACGTGGTCAATGAAGGCAGGTGTGCATTCCTGGTCAGCAAATGGACTAGTCTTAGATCAGGATGTAACAGGGATGGAGTGCTCTGATTAAATTCAAGAGGTCAGAGGCTTATCATTGGTCAAGTGAATCCATACAAGTCTTGTGTCAAAATGGGAAGTCTAGAAATGGATGTGTTAGGGTTGGGTGATTTTGAGTGGGATGTTTTGGTTTTTTTTTTCTTTTAAGAATCTAGTAAGGTGAGCTTGAATATTGAAGTATTAATGAAATATTTATAAAAAATATTACATGAGGTATTTGTGAAAACAAATAGTTTTTCTTCTTCTGTTACACTTGTCAGATACCTGGTTCCATGTTTAATTCTGCATCAGCCAAGTGATTGTGTTTAAGCTTGTTGTTGTGGCCACCTTGGTTAATTTTTAGCATCCAAGACACAGTAACTTGCTCTTCTAAATCGTCCCCCATTCTCAGATGTCTGATAACTTCTGTGTGCAATCATGGTTCTTGGGGGTCTTTTTGCTTGTTTAATCAGACCCCAACTACCACTCGGTGAGGATACTGTGTGCATACATAAGCTGGAATAGCTGTATCACAGTAGGAGTTTGGTCTGATTCTACTTCATTGCTTTAGCATTTTGTAGTGCTTAAATGTTCTTCCTCTTGTAGTATTCTATGTTATGTAGCACTTTTTTCCTTCAGGAAAAGGGAAAAAAACCTTTGTTCCAGTCTACAGTTTTAGGCATCAGCCCTCTAATAGAAAGGGCTAGCTTGGAACATTATGCTGCTGCAGAGATGCCAGTGACTTCATAAAGCCTTCTTAGTAGATCCTTCTAAATAATCAGAAAATAATTATCTCATGTACATGATATATTTTTTATTGCATTTCTCTTCCAAAGCAATTTGGATAACCAAGGAAGGGGTTTGTTTCTTCTGTTGGTCTAGTGTCATTTTGCCAGCGTGCATTTTCTACAGATGTTGCTAGACAGCGAGTACCACTCATCGTCTCAGTTGATGTGTTGAGAAACTGTTAATTTCTAAAGATACTTCTGAATAACCATTTTTCCCTTGAACTTCCTGGTTGATGTGTTGAGAAACTGTTAGTTTCTAAAGATACTTCTGAATAACCATTTTTCCCTTGAACTTCCTTTATGTGTGAGAAAAGCAATGTTGGATGTGTGTAAAAAGGCTGCTTTTAATACTTGTGGAAATTTATACAGAAAACTAGTGCCAGTGCATTTTTAATTCCAAAATGCTGGGTAGCTGATAATGGTTTATCATGGCAGAACATGAAATCGTTTTGCTCCTTTGCTCTGTGGTGCTTAAAAGATATCAGAGTCTGTGCTCAAGCCAACATGAGCCAAGTGATTTTGCCTCTTTATTAATGGTGTGTTGCTCACTTAATTCTGCTGTTGTGGAGTAATGTCTGTGGGGTCTCTGTGAAGGATGGCTGCTTAACTCTGTAAGTACAATTGCATTGACTTAGTAGTGGCTTTTTCTGCCTGGAATATAACTTTTTAAATATATTGTAGCAATTTGTAATACAACAAATTTTGGTATTTTCATCAATTTGTGGTGCCTGGTATATATATTCACCAGAGGACTCTGGTGTATAAGTGAGCTTACATCTCATGCAGTGTTTTATGTTCCAGTGCAGAAAAATGAGTCACTTTTATTTTTGGAGAGCTGAGACCTAATTTGTCACCCTTTGACTTCAGTGTAAGAAGATATATCCTTGTACTAATTTAAACTTAAAATTATTTTCCCCCATTCTTTTTTCCATATTTTTGCTTACTGCTGCCTAATGCTGCTAAGAAATTTTGCTTTACAGAGCAAGCTTTACAGTCATAACCTTCTGTTATGACATTTGTTTGTTCTTGCCTGTCAAACCCTGTTTGTGACCAAACATCCACAATCACTGTAGAAATACTGGCTTTCACAATGTTTCCCAAACACTTTTGGATGCTTTTCAGGCATTTTGGGAGCTAAAAATCTATTATGTGCTTGGCTGCTATCTTTAAAGTACTTCCTCTTCTGACCAGTGGCTGGAAACTGTCTAAAACACGTGTACCCTGTGCCCTTTTGTTACTAATTCATAATGTTGATGTTTTAAAATCTTTCTCTGTATTGTGATGCTGCTTTCAAGCTTACTGTTTTTCTTTTACTAAATCTTTTTCCTGGGTTACCCGAGGCGTGACACAATTAAAATACTACTCTCACAGTTATCTGAAGCTCTCTTCTTGGATTTGTAGGTCCCAAGCAACTGCCTTTGTTTCTCTTCACTTGAAAACTTGGAATTCAGATTTCATCCACTTGATTATTTTTCCACTTCTATGCAAAAAAAAACTTTTTTTTTTTTTTAAAGTTAGTTTGGGATTTCTGTTTTCTGCTGCCCTTGTTCTTTGTAATTGAAAACTTAAGTTGCGTAAAATTCACAGTGTTAAGTCTGTTCTGGCACTTTGTATCCCAGTTTGGGCATTTAGCCATTTGTTTTGTATCTAGTAGCTATTGAGTTGCAGAGCATCTTCGGCTCGTTGCTGAGGATAACAGACGGTTGGGTACATCTTCCTGTGGGATTTTTGGTTTTCAGATGTCTCACTAAAAGTCTCCTCAGGCCTTGCTTGGCCTGCACGCCATTAGAAAACTGTTTCAGTCACGTATCAAAAATTTTGCCCTTAACTCACAGAATCACAGAATGGTTAGGTTTGGAAGGCACCTCTGGAGATCATATCGTCCAACATTTCTGCTAAGGCAAGGTCACCTGCAGCAGGTGACAGGAACACAGCCAGGTGCATTTGGAATGTCTACAGAGAAAACTCCATGTTAGATTTGGAAGGCATCTCTGGAGATCATATCGTCCAATATTTCTGCTAAGCAAGGTCACCTGCAGCAGGTGACAGCAACACAGCCAGGTGCATTTGGAATGTCTACAGAGAAAACTCCACCATCTCCTTGGGCAGCTTGATCCAGCGCTCCCGCACAGGAATTCGGAGCATTTAAATCGCAGTTCAATTAATCTTGGTGCCTAGTGAAAAGAATTATTTCCTCTCCTCTAATTATCCCCAGATTAAACCAAAACGATGCTGGTGAGCCGGTGCTTTCCCTTCGGTGAGCGCAGCAGAGCTGCTGTGCGGGCGGTGCGCGGGGCTGAAGGGCTGCTCCCTTAGGGACACGGGGGCACTGCGGCACAGGCAGCGCCCTGGCGCCTCCCAAAGGCAAAGGGTTTTTTGCCTCTTTGCTTTAACTTTTGTAGGGTGACTCAGAGACAAAAAAAAAGCTCCACCATCCCAGTATGAGGAAAAAATGAGTCGACAGTGGGGCAGTAATGTGACTCGTGTGACAAGTGTCATGGCTTTGTTTCACTTCCCCGTGATTGCAGTGAAGGCAGCAGTTACCCACCTGCCCATCCACCCACCCATCCTGCCCTCCGTCCCCACCCCTCCAGATATTAAGTTCCATAGGAAACTTCTCTCTTGCTGCTGTGATAGTAGGTCTAAACTTCATCTGTCATGTCCAAATTTTGCTGTACCACCATAAATCTTTGTGGCAGGTCATTATAAGTCACAGCACCGACTGCTTGTCAAAGCCTGCAATGCATTTCTCAGTTTCTCCAGTCTATGAATTTTAGCAGCTTCTCTGCTGTAATTTCTCACATGCTCATTCCATTCTCAAAGCCAATATAAAGTTATAAAATGGAGAGATAAAATAGATGTAGGCTGCATTCCTCATCCATAATAGAGGATGTATATTTTATTTTAATGCTACAATATAATAAAATTGACCTAGAGCAAACCCACTAGTCATCAGTATAAAGGAAAAAGTTGTGTACCTATGATACATAAAATTTGGGATTATCTCTAAGATTGAGACAGATACTAATTAGGCATTTAAACCTGAGTTAATCTTCACAGGCTCCCCTTACGGTCAGTCAGCACAGAAAAAGTACATGCACAGGGCAGTTGATCTTATTTTAACATTTTATTATCTAGAATAAATCACATAATTGTCCTCTGAAGATGCATTTTTTTCTCTTCTGTGAAGGGAGGATGAAGATGAGATTTTTTTATCAATATTGGGGCCTCTTTTTTATTATTTTTTTAAATTTAGGAGCACAACTATGCAAAATACTCTTAAAATTCACATAAAGCCATTCTTGGTGTTTCTGCTAGCCTTCAATAGTACATAGTCTGTATATAGGAGCTCTTAGTTTTCTACACAGAGTAATTCACACACATTTAATTTGTAAATGTACACTTGGTAGGGGATTTTAATCTCACCTTGTATTTAATCAACCCTGTAATGCTAAAAATAATCAGCTGTTTGGAGAAATAAGATATTTATTTATATCTCTTTCTAATACCTCTTATGAAATGAGTCTATTATTTCAACTGTTATCTTTAGGTAGTTCTACAAACACAAACATGATAAATTATGACTTACTGGGCAATTTGCATGGAATTATCTGAAACTGTAAATACAGTTAATACAGAATTTTAGTTCCACTGTGCATAACTACAGCTGTTGGAACACTGCAGATCAGACAGTGGGAGGTATGTGGAAGCTGCATGAGGTATGTGGAAGCAGCATGTTTGGTCAGCAATTTTGCATCTCCTGGCTTCTGGAGGAGTAGAAGTTTATGGCCTGGCATGCCACTTTATTAAAGGTCATGATGTAGGTGTATGTATCACAAAGTTTTTCGTTGTGTAGAGACAACACGAGATGCTGGCACAGCCACTAGAACTAAGAAGCTTTGCCAACTGGTCTTTATGAAACATAAATACAGGAAAAAGTTGTGCTTATATTCAGCTTTACTGCTTGTCAAGATGAAAAACAGTGTCAGGTCAGAGGCAGTTTACCTTTTAAATAAGACCAGTTTTTGGTATGGTTCATTTAGTCCAACTACCATCATTTATCCCCCTACCAGCAAAATATGAGATTATTTAAAAAATTCTGCAATAACTGGTTTTTAGCATCTCTTCTGGTAAAACTAATAAAATGTTGACCATGAAAGTTACAGAGAAAAATTAAAAGAACAGTGAAAAGTTAGTGCACTAAGCCATTACGATGTTGAATAAAAATTAACCTAAGTAAAAGATTAAACTATTGAAGCATGACCCTCCTGTACAAACATGTATTTCCTACTCACTAATGGTAACAAAACAGAGCTTAATAGTTTCATGCAAAGATTAGTGTTTCTTAAACAATCCTAGTCATTAGCACCAAGTTTTTTAAACACTGCTGAGATTTCTTGTCTTAAACACTGCTAGTTGCTCATTCAAATGGGTTTGATTTGTTTAAACAAATAATATGCTAAGTACTGTTTTTCTGAAGCCAGCTTCTGTAGGAGTTACACTGCATTAGAGCTGTGCTGCAGGAGTGCTCTTCACCTTTGCTTTAGTTAAGACAAACTGATGATTTTTATTGAATAATAAACAAATGCTAGGAAAAATATTTCCTTGACCCTTAATTAGTTAGCATTTGTTTGGTTGGTATAAGTAGCATAAGGCTTCATATCCTTTTTAAATTTTATTTTGTAATTTTTAATACTGACTGGCTTCAGTACAGGTTCATTTGTTATTTTCCAAGAATAGGTGTTTATAGAATTCCCTTTCCCCCATGCCATTTTTCCTACAGTTAAAACCCTGGCATTAGTGATAGAGTAATAGAGTAGTGGCGAGTTCCACAAAATTTAGAACTAGATTAAGAAAAAAGGATTTCCTATCCAGAGTAGAAGCACAGAGCAAATAAAATTCATGGAAAATTCCTCATAAGCAGAGAAAAATTACAGAGAAATTGCCTTTCTAGAACATATATTTGTATTAAAATACTGAAAGAAACACGCTCTAGTTTTGGGTGCATGGGGTTACAATTCACTGGCTTTTTATGGCCATATCTGTTTGAGAAAGATTTGAAGTGAACCCAGAGAGGCTGCAAGGTGACACCATGGGCTGTGAAGAGAAGAGCAGCAGTGGTTAGTACCTTCACAGTGCCTAGCCAGGCCTTGTCCAGTCCAGGGACAAAAGCTTGAATTGTTAGAACTGGGTCAGTGTTTTGTTTCAAAAAGACCAAGATTTTAACTCATGACTTTGTGGAAATGATGCAGGAAAAGCCTTGTGTTTCTTTACCAGTGCTGCATTTATTCTGCAGTGAAAATACCTGTGTCACTCTGGCAGGTGAAGCCAGGACCCTGGGCGTTACCACACCGGGGTGGCACCGGCAGCAGAGACGTTCAGAGACATTCAGGATCCCTCGGGGCACGTTGTCACTGTGGCAGTCCGGGAGCAAAGCTCAGGCCCCTGCTGCTGCTCCCACACCTCCAGAAGCTCTCCTGAAAGCAATGGCTTCCCACTGCTGCAGGGACAGCACCAAGCACCTCTCCCAAGGTCACATCTTGCTTGACTTCACAAGATGTGCTCTTCTAAACCACCCAAGCTGGCTGTGCCCTCAAAGCTACTGCATCCCAGAACGTGCAGCACATACCCTCCCTCTGCTGCTAGGAAAGCACTCTTCTCACAGCCTGCAGGGCAGTTTCACACCATTTCACAAACTTCAAACTGGAAGATAACACAGAAAAATCAGAATTGCATGTTGGCTCTAGAGGGGCACCAGAAGGAGTCCAAGGAGCTCTGTGGTATGTGAATACAGGAGTCTGCTCTAGAGGGAACTAGCCCAGCTAGTGTGAATATAAACCAGCTACATTCCTCTTATGTTCCCAGTATAAGTCCTTCTTGACATCAGGGACATTTTTTTTAAATTTAGAAAGACGAGCTTGCTCTCTGAAATGAGGTAGTGTGAACCCACAGCATTTTTAGAGATTACCTGATCTTAGATTACCTTTGTCTGTTCAGAGTACCAAGTCTGAATGAGTCTGGCACAGGCTTATACATACAGCAACTCACACACATAATTAGGATTTTCTAAACAATTTCAGTCACCAGTCTAGAGTTTCCCATTCCGAGATGCCCCAGTTGAGACTCCTGTAAAAATAAAAGGATTTTTCTTCTGAATAAATTATGCGGAGAAGAAAGTGCATTTCTGTAACACCAAACAAAATCTGCACTTAGGAGTAAGCATCTTCTTACACATTCAATGTTGGACTAAATGAACCATACCAAAGGTCACTAAATGTCATTGTTCTGTAATTATCAGTCTTCAGAGGAGCAAAGAAATCTGAATAAATGGTTCAAGTTGAGACATTTGGCAAAATAATGAGGTGAAAGGCTTCCAAAGTTTTCTGAAGGAAAAAACTCCACATAATTGGGCATAATTCTTAAAATCTTCATTTAGGCATTAAAAAATACAAATGTGTATCCTCTTCAGGGTTCATGAAATGTCAACAAAAGAAAATAGTAGTATAAAAACCAAAGAGCTGTTTTTCAGTTACTCTCAGGGCATAAGGAGTTTGTTTATTCAAAGATCTGTGACACTGGCAAATGAGCTGTTCCCTTTAAATACCTTGCCAGGTGTTGTTTTTGTTTGGTTTTTTTCCCTGTTCAGCTGTACTTGTATGATAAATTAATTTTTCTAGAAATACACTACCAGTTCAGCACAGATTTTTTTAACCATTAATCTCCTTACCTGGCATATTTTGCCCCCTTAGAGCAGTCAGAGCAGCCCAAGGAACATTTTAACCAATCTTAAAATGCCCAGGGAGATTAAAAGATACACTTCAGTCGATTGCTCTGAAGTGTAACTCAGAAGCATAACTGATCAGTCATCCAAAGAATTTCATTGTTGTTGCTGTGCCTTTTTGATCAGCCAGTCCAAAGGGATTTCATTAACATCTCGCTAGTACCTCTGACTAAGAAGAAATTTTGAATAGATTATGGAAGTCTCTAGAAACAAGCTATTTTTAAGTGCTAAGCATATAAATGCAAATTGAGTAGAAACAGCTGTTATTTACATTCTGTGGACACATGATTTCACTCCCTGATGGACAGGGGAAGAAAAAAAGCCACTGAAAGACTGAAATGCCATTAGAGAAATTGGAGAAATGGGGATCTAATAAAGATACATGCAATGAACCACATTGTTGGGTGGTATGAATTGGTAAAGCTTTCCAGGTTTGCCACCATAACATTATATAGCCCACCTGCCAGGAGGACTTGAGGAGCTCAATGTATTTCGTGGAGAAAGTTGGGGGAGGGGTTGAAGGAATGAAGATGCTGAAACAAAGGCATATGAACAAATTCCTGTTTCAGCCTTTTATGCAATGGCTAGCTGATAACCTGGCATTTTCAAAAACAGCCTCCCAGAACAAAGCCTGCATTCATAATAAGATTTTGCTATGGACTTATGCTAGTTTGAGATTATGTTCTGAAAAAATTATAAAAGCTCCTGAAAAATGTAAGCAGCATATTCTAGACCAGTGTCCCTGAAAGTAGAAGACTTTGCTGGAGGGAAAAGAAAGCACAGTGTGAAATTTGCACCCTTCATGAACATAGGCTTTTTACTGGCCTGGCAGAGGCTCTCCTGTGTGTCCTCCATTTACCTGGAGCAGGTCCCTGCTGTCACATGTTCCACTGGAAAGCTCATGCTCCCTCTTGCCAGGCCTGCTTCTCTTTGTAACATCACCAGCAAACACCTAGAGTAGAAAGAAATAATAGTCTCCTCAGGAAAGGTAAGGCATGTTTAAAAACGTTCACAAAATATGGCTGCTAATTTGGCCCAAATCCACTCATTCAAATCAGCGACACGAACCTGGGACAGGGAATTAAAGGTGGGATTGTTTGCTGGCTTTTCCTATAGAAGGAAACATAGCCAACATAGCCAACACAGCTAAAGCTCAAGCACCACAGAGCCACTTGATTCTTAAGAGCCTGGGGAGTGATCTCCAAGATTAGTTCTGTTTGCCTTAGGATTGCTTTGTGCCTGCCAGCACACAAAACCTGTCATAACTCAGGCACAGGTAGGACTGAAATTTCATTCTTGTTCCATTTTATGTACACTCTTACCTGCTGTTCTGTGTTACGCAAAAGATACGTCCGATGGCTAAATGCATTCTTTCCTTCCTCACCAGAACAAAGGCTCATCTACAGCAGCAGGTTTTGCAGCTCCTTCTGTCTAGCATCATGTGGCATGAAATGCTGGGGAAAAATTCTGCTGTGCCTCAGGCATCTTTCCAGATCACATTTATTCACAGAGGGATAATTTATCAGAGAAATGAGCTCTGAAGAGACTACTAAAATTAGTGTTAAATTTTGAAATGTAGGGCAATGGCACTGAAAGTCAGAAAATATGTCTAGCCCAAACTCACACTTTATAAAATGCTTTGCATATTTTGTAATAATTATGGATATTATTTCCCCTTCTCCGTTCATTTATAAGGACAGAGAGAATAACAAACTTAAGCAAATCTGAATTTGGTTACACAGAGCCATCTGTTAATTCTGGTATATGGCAGTAGAGGGCATCTAAGGACTTCAAGTCACATATGGTAAGGGATTAAAATCAGATGGCTGAAGGAGTTATTACTCTCCCCCCAAGCCGTTCACCCCACCTCAGGACAGAATTGCCACCTCATGACCAAACAGCTCACGAGGCTGCTCCTGGTCGATGGCAGTTTTGAAGCCACACTGAAACTGGGGTTGTTCTTAAAACACCAGTCTCAAAGCTGAAGTTGTTAAGGAGGAAATGCATGAGTTAATTTCTCTTCCCTGCTGCAGGCAGAGCTCTGTCAGAGCCACAGGATGGTTTTGGGTACAGTAAAGGGGGAGATACTGCTTCAAGCAGCCTGTCCAATTTTATCTACTACTGTTTGAGCTTTAATTTCCACATACCTGGAAAAACTGCTTACAGGAGGAGCAAGTGATTCTGGGAATGGACAGGCTGTGCCAAGAAAAGGCAAGCTGTGGACCAATGCTCTTTCCTTAAGCAGAAAGAGTAGCCCTATGTCTGTTTCCTCTCCTGAGCCTTAAAACTGACAGCCTGTCTGGCCAGTATTTCATCAGGTTACGTCCTCCCAGTAAGCCAGTCCGATACAGGACGAGGCGTTGAGCCATCCTGACAAAAAGCAAGCACTAATCCTGACAAACAGAGAGAAGGTGGTTGGCAGCTAGCGCTGTTTTCTTGTCATCTGTCCAGGTTTGTATGACATTCCACATCCAGCCTCTATACTGAAGCAGGGAAAGCAGCCATGCCTATCTTGAGCCAAAAGAAGCCAACACGTCAGAGGCAGGTTAAGGTCATTACCTGACACTAACACTTAATGCACTAATCTGAAAAATGTATTTGAACCCAGCAGCATATTCACATACAACAGGCAACGTATTTTCAATTAACTGTGAGAAGTTTAAGGTTATATAAATACATTAGTAAACGTTGATTATCCTGTTATTCAAACTCCTAAGTACAGCAACACGTCAGGCCTTCTCCTGAAGTCTATTATAGCCTTAGCCTGAAATTTAAAAGTGGCTCATGCCCAAAAAAAGGTTCTACAACTCATTTAATGATTCACAGTACTCCTAAAATGATATTCATCTGTCTGCTCTCCATGGCAGAACTTTCAATCATAAACACTTAATTGTAGGAATTCATCCTCAAGGCCAAATAGCTCCGGGTGAATTAAACTATCCTTAATGTAAGAACTAGAACAGTGGTTTAAAATTAATCTTTTTCTGATGGGAGGCCATTTATTCAGAGACACATAACCCAGTTTCTACTTCACTTTACTTTTCACTCAAAAATCTCCCTTTCAGAGATAGGCACTGCATCACCTGCTTTAGTTTTCCTTATTAGTTTCAAAATTGACTCTCTGCCAACAAAGGAATTTTATTACTTATGGATTGGCAAAGCATAGGAGAGCTGCCTTCATGCTGTCTGTCAGGAAAACTTTTTTCACAGACATTACTTGCTCTCTTTTACTTTGAGGCGTAGGACTCGCAACTGGCAGAAAAACATCTCAAGCCTCCTCAAGCATAAAAGGCTTGTTTTTTCTGGCAGCATCTAGGACAAGAATGCAAGATTTCACAGTGCTTTCAGCTGTGCTATCTCTAGGATTTTTCCAAAAAAAAAAACAAAAACAACAAACCAAGAGTATATGTTTCTCTAAAAATCGAAAACTTCAAGGACCATGGTTCTGAACATGTGTGTGTATAGGTGTAGTGCATATATATACCTAGATGCTCTTTCTCAGCCAAAAAACCAAGGTAAATAAATATTACAGTCACAGCATTTTATGCTATAATCTGAATATTAAAATCCACATCAAATATTCTCCTAGTAGTTCTTTGAAGACTGTACCAAAACTGGACCTTTCCAGAAGGAAAAGCATCTTGTTTTCTACCTTGTTCATGAGAAAGAAGCATGAATGGAAAGAAAATGCTATCAAACCATGTATATTTACAACTTATTCTCCAGTAACTTTCAGAAATATTTGGCTAGTTTTAGTCAGAGTGAAACTCGATAATTCACAAAATAACACAGAATAACAGAATTCTGCTGTTTATAAAAAAGCCTAACATAGCATAAAGTAAAATCTGCTGTGTAAATTATCCTTGGGCTTTTTTTATACTTCGTACCCTGTGTCACCACGTTCTACTTTTCCTTTACATGCGAATCCAAATTATTTTTATATTATTTTGGTTTTACCTTAAATTGTAAATAGTAAATTGGTGAAACCAAGCAAGCATTACATTTAATTATTTCCATTGAAGATTCCAAGTGGCTAGGTAACCTCTTACTCCATGCAGGTTAGGCCTTTACTTTTAAATAGTAGATAGCACAGGATGAGATGAGAGATGGACTTAAATGCCACCTTTTTATGGTCAGTTTCGTGCCTGACAGTGATTATCTGTCTAGCTATCCACTGAACCAAAGGGAATGATCCTTCTTTTTATCAACTGTCTCTGAAAGAAAAGAATCTGGATGTTATTTCAAAGTATTACTCTCTTGGTGCCATCTTTTGATGTTTGCTTTTAAATCACAAGTGCTGCTTTCCTTTTAGAGGACCCCTGGTTTATAGAAATTATTCACTGAATTATTTTGTTATTCTCCTTTACCAAATGTATATTATCAAGAAAAGCAAAGCATCCACATATGAATAGATAAAAATGGCAGAAAATAAGGTGGCAGCTGCTAAAGAGTAAAACTGTTTGGTATAAATCTTAATCTATTTCATCAAAACATTCTGTTCCTCAGGCAGCTGGAAAGAGCAGGGTGATCCCATACACTGAAATATTTGTTTTCTCTATGTTTTATTTATTATGTTTTAGGAACTCTTTGTGAAATAAGCAAACCTTTCTCCTGACTGCTAAGTGAGAAATCCTCAAAGAGTTCACTTTGCAGACCTTTCTCGTGCTATGGAGTTACAATTAACTCATTCCAATTTGCTGGAGCTAAAGGCTCAATATTCCTATTTCTCTGCTCAAGAACCCAACTGCAATCCCAGGACAGGGAAACCATGGCAGCTGTACACTGTTGTTTAGACTAGTTCAGGTAAACAGTTGCCAAAATCCGCTCAGTAAGTAGACCTATGTGATAAGCAATAGCTGTCCTTCTAACTGAAGGGGATTTTAACTGACCAAATGGTATGCCATGGATAGTAGATATTCTGTGCTGCATCTTTGGGAAGTTAGGGATGAAGAGAACAAGGAAAGGCCCTTTGTATTCTTCCAGGTAGCTAGGTAAATCTATCTTAATAAATCAGTAAATATTTTCAGTGAGTCAGAGCAAATTTAGCAAAATCAGCTGAGTCAAAAGCACATTACCCCCTCCTCTGCTCACATCATATTATTTAAATCAGCATATGAACTCACCAGTAAACTTGGCATACTTTTCAGGAACAAAGTGAAAATCATTTCTAGTAACAGGCACTTCTCAGGACTGTAAAAATGTTTTTGTCTCCTTCCTTGGTCATGAAAGGGATTTTTGCCTAAAGGAAAAATAAAAAATAAATTCACTCATCCTTCCCTGTCTTGAGCATATGCATTTGAAAGAATCAGAAACAATACATTCAGCTCGTGATTTTCAAGAACTCTTAATGTTCATATTTTCACTACTAATATAAAACTTGATTAAAAATATCTACTATATGGATAATATACAGTCAGAACCAACATTCATGAATAGTAGTATCAGAAAAAAAAAAGGGATTGCTTAAGTTGGTGCCTTTCGTCTCCAGTTATATGCCTCTAAAACTGGCTCAGAAGCATTCATATTTATATATGCACAGCAATATTTCTCCTAGAATTGCTACCCCAAAACAACAGATTAAAAATAAATAAAGCATTTGGTTTGAATTGTATATAAAATTTTTAAACCCTCACTTGTATATAGTTTTTGTATTAGTGACTGTTTAGAAGAATTACTGTTTGTTACATGGGAAATTAAAAAACCCTATTTTGGAAAACTAAATTTTCTCAGTCTGGTCCTTCTTTTTTCTTTCTCCATTTCACATCTTTCTCCTACTCCATTCTGATTTTTATAAAGTAAAACTCTTCAGGCAGACGAGACCTGTATTAAATATCCCAGTGCCAAAAAACTAAAAAGTAGCTTTAAGTAGTTTCATGCACTACATATGGCCCATAGTCCCAAAAGTCATTTCATTTAGTCACCTTTTCTTACCCTTACAACTATTTCTTTCTCCTGTGACTGGATTGAAGACTCATGCAGACAGAGGAGAAAAAGAGCAACTAACATTGTTGAAAGAACCAGTAAAATACAAACGTATTCCACCGAGCCTGTAGCACTTTCAGATGTCTCAAACCAGAGAATAAAGGTAACTGCACACAAGAGCACTCCTGTGAGGTGCCAGGATTGTCATTTAAAGATAGATTTGCAGTTTTTAAGTTTGAATTTCATTACTCTTGTAAGTTTATCAGATATTTAGTGCTATTTTTAAGAGACATTAGGTTGTCATGAAAAAAAATTTAACAGAACTCTGTTTAGGAAAGATCCTGCTGATATACTGCCTATTTAATATTTCTGCTTTTTCCTAACAATATCTGAAATTTTAAGTAACAAACGTTTATTACATTCTTCTGTTCTTGTTTCTCATTCACCACATAAATCGTGGTCTTCCTCCCTCTGCCTTTATAGCAGCCAGCTGTGGTTTTAGAAACAAATTATTATGACTTCAAGTGACGAATAAACAGCAGAAGCAAAGGAAGTCTAGAGATACCATCCACATAAAAATCCCATTAATAAAATGACATAAGAAAAGAAAACTATAGCAAAGTTGTAAAAAAGCAGCTTTGCATCTAGACAAGACATATTCTTTTTCTCCAAGATGCAACAGTGAACTTCAAAGAAATAGCCTTAACTTGAACACTGTGATATCAGAAGAATATACTTTTTGAGCAAAAGCTGTGTGCCTACATATACAGAATTATTTTAGTAATAAAAATAGGTCGGTATTAATTTTTTATTGTTCCCCTGAACATAGTGACGTCAGGGCCATTCTGAAAAAGCAATGGAGGTTTTCTGCAAGATCTCATGTCATAGGTTGCTGAACTGTCAACTAAATTTCTAGGGGCACATTATCTCCCCTCTTCACATCAACCCAACGAAAAATCTTAGTGGGGATTCCACAACTGTCACTGGAAGCTGCATCTGAGGCTATCTGAACTTCACAGACAAAAACAGGAACAAGAATGACCTTCAAGACCTAAATTGTTTTAAACCATTTCTGAGAATGCTTAAGAAAGCCCGTGTTTGTTCCTCAGACCTCATTTTAAATCTGTGCTGCTGCCAATGATTAAAACCACCTTTTTTCATAAACTGAATAAATTAAATTCAAAAGCACCCAGGCATTACAAACAGATGAAATCATACTGGCCAATATTTCACTTAACAAAGTAGATTTTTTTTTTCTCTCAGATGAATTTACTTAATCACTAAATACAGAACTTAATTTTTAAGATAACTATTAATGCTCTTATCCTCTGATGCTTAAGAATTATAAGCAATAACTGTTACAAAACCCTTCAGGATTTGTAATCCTTCCTCAGTCATTATTTATTTATTTTTTTAAGAAACGTTGCATTTCAGACGTTACTGGGGAGTGCGACCCAAGGCAGCGTCTCGGTCTGGGAGCTTTCTCTGTGCAGGGAAGCTGCTGCGCTCCCTCAGCCAGACAGTCCAGCCTAATGCATATTCATGTACCCCTCTGATAACAAAGGCTCCTTCCCCCCTCCCGCCCCGATTTTTAAAGATATTATCTTTTATTATGTTATAGGTTTGGGCTTCTTTCCTGAAATCTTTAAAAAAACACCCCTTAATCCTTCTGCCGTCAATTCTCCCTCCCAGATACCCCCGTGCAATTTGCAGGGAGCCCTGACCTGCAGCCAAGGGCTGGGGTGAGACTACTACGGCTACTTTTGCTTTGTTTTCCCTCTTTTCTTTCCTTTTTTTTTTTTCTCCCCTCTTTTTATGTCTCTTTCTAAAGTCGGCTCTGGGCCGCCGGGGCAGCGGTGAAAGGTGGCTGGTTACCGAGCAGCACCCACGGCACAATCAACCGTCCTTACGCTGAAAAACAGCTTCGTGGTTATTAAAAAAAATTAATAATAATTAAAAAAAGGGGGGGGAGGGGGAGGAAATCGGCGCGCGCATCGGCGGGCAATGGCTGTTTGTAGCAACGAGGTATTTAGCGCCGGAGGGTGAAGGGGGGTGGAGACCAGGGTGGGGTGTCCCAGGAGCTTCGGCCGCCGCAAGTCCCTGGCAGCGAGCTCCTGGCAGCGGCCCCTGCCGCGCTCCCGGCCCCGCGGGCGGGCCCGGCCGCCGCGCTCAGGTGCCCGCGGCTGCTGGCGGGGGGGCCGCGGGCCGCGTTCGGCCACCGCTGCCCCGGCGTGACAGGGGCGGCGGCTCGGTGCGTCGGCCCCGGCTGGCCGCGATCGCGGCGGAGGCGCCGGAGCGGGTCCTGTCACATGATGCGGTTCCTGGAAAGTTCCTGGAAAGCAGCCTTTGTATGTAACCATCCCGGGAGGGGGGAGCGGCGGGGGCAGGATGCCCTCGCCTCGCAATCAAAGGCGAGCAGACCGCCCGCGCCGGGGAGAGGCGGGGGAGAGGAGGGTGTTGTTTCCCCAGGAGCACCATCTTCCCCCGGCAGCCTCTGTCCGCCCCGGCACAGCCTCGACGCTTCTCCCCGGCGGCGGGTGCTGTGTCCCCCCGGCCCCCCGACGCCGCCGGGAGCCCGAACAACCTGACCGCCCCACCTCCAGGCGGCGGCAGCGGCGGCCCCAGCCCCGTCCCGCCGAGCCCGGGTGAGTCCCCTTGTCGCCGCTCCCCTCCGCCCGGTGCCCTGCGTCGCTTCGAGAGCCGGCAGCCCCCCGCCCCGCTCCCGGTGCGGCGCTGCCGGCCGCCGGGATGGAGGCTCCCCGCAGCAGGCTGCTCCGGCTCTCCTCGCCTCGGCCGGGGGGCGCCGGGCTGCAGCCAGCCGCCACCGCCTCGCCAGCCTTCCGTCCCCACCGAGCTCCCGCGGCGGCGGCGCCTCGCGGCTGGGCGCTGCCGGAGCCTCCCTTTCACACGGGGTCGCGCCCGGACACCGCTGGCAGGGCTGCTTCCACCTGCGCTCGTCGGCCCCGCGCCCGCTGCCTCTCCCGGTCACAGGCGCACCTGCGCCCGGTCACCGAGCCGGCGGCGGGAGCTTCTGCGCGGGGGAAGGAGGGGATGGGCTTTGTCGAAGGATTCCCGCGCGTGTGCCTAGATATGTTGGGATAGAAACCCGTCAGAACACCCTATCAGTTGCCACTACAGTTTAATTTGGAAAAGTTTTTTAGCTCCGCCGCGGAACTTGTTATGGGAGGAACCACCTCAGCGTAACCCCCTCACCTGGCGGCTGCTGCGCACCCGCAGGCAGAGACTGTCCGGTTCGCAAGCACCGACGGGGGGCTCCCGGTTTTCCCCGTGAGCCCCGTCCCTCCACTCCAGCCAAGCCGGCTAGGCTCCCCCTCTCTGGTACTGCCCGGCTTTGTGTCGCTCCTGATGCGGCGGCGCACCCAGGAGAGAAGAGGCTCTTTTTGTCCCTCTCGTTAGCTTCAGCCAAGAGGAAATATTTTTTTTTAAATTTTATTTTCCCCCTAATATCACTATTTAATGGAGCGGGAAAAGCATATTTCCTGCCCCGCGCTAATTATAGCGCGTCCTCCACCGCGCTGCCCCTTCCGTTCCCAAGCGGCCGGCGAGCCCCCGGAGCCCGCGCTGCCGGCGCACTCGCTCCGCAGCTTCTCGGGTACTCCGCTGCCCGAGAGGAGGTCTCCATCCCAGGAACATGGCCCACGCCGGGCTTCCGTTCCTACAGGTACGACTTCGGGGATGACCTTACTGGAAGGCGGCCGTACGCACCGCAGCGTGAAACCGGGCAGCGCCGGGGCTGGGACCTCTGCCCCGCTCTGCTGCTTTCCTCTCCTCTCATACCTTTACGGGCTCGGCTCTCTCCCATGACCTCCTCCCTCCCCAAAAGTCACAGAGCTGCTCGCCTGGCCCAGCCGAGGGAGCGGGGCATCAGCAGGCTCGGCTTTGCGATAAAGCGAGACCACCGTCCCGGGACGCCGCCTCCGCCGAGTCCCCGGCGGAGAGGAGCCGAGGACAGGCTGGGCGGCGGGGGGGAGGAGATGTCCCTCCCCCGCTCCGCCGGGAGGTGATCTCTCGCCTCGGGTCCCTCCTCTGGATGCTGGGAAGTTCCGAAGCGGGATCGCCAGAAACACGCTCTGCGTCGGGAGCGCCTCTCGCGGGGCTCGCCGCTAACCGCGCTCTCTCTCCGCTCGCAGGCGGCGCCCGGGCTGGGGGCCGGGACCATGCGCCCAGCGCGGCGCTGAGCCCCGCGGCGGCGAAGCGGAGCCCTCTCCTGCCGGCAGCCCCCGACCTGCGAGCGAGCGGGGCCGCGCCCGCCGCCGCCGCCCATGACCCTGCGCTCCGCCGAGCCCCTGGAGAGCGCGGAGAGCTCCGGGGAGCGCTGGGGGCGCCCCGGGGCGGCGGCGCCCGCTGCCGAGGAGTGCCGTGAGGCGGAGCAGCTGGCCGCGGCTATGGAGGAGCTGCGGCGGGCAGGTAAGCCCGGCGGCCGGGACGGGGAAAGCGCCCGGGGCGGCGGCGCTGTCCGGGGGGCGGCAGAGCGGCGCGGCGGGGGTCCCCACCGGGCCGAGAGGGGAACCGGCGGCGGTGCGACGCCTGGCCATCGCCGCCCGGCGCTGCGAGGTCGCGTTCCCGCGGCGGAGGGGCGGCGACGACTCCGACCTTCCGCGGACTGCGGCGGCCGAAGCGAAAGCTCCGGCAGCGCCGCGCCCCGGCGGCAGCCCGGGATCGAGGGCCGGGCGCTGCCGCCGGCCGGGGCGGCCGCGGCGCCGCATCCATCCCCTCGCCCCGCGTACCTGCGCTCCCCTCGCCGGCGTGGCGGCGGCTCGCCCGGCCTCGCAGGACGCGGGGCTTGGTTGCGGGAGGAGGGAAGGGCGTTTTGTCTTCATCGCAGCTGCGCCAGGACCGCAGCTACCTCGCCGAAGATATTTTCTTATCCTTTAGCTTTCGGTCGCTAGACAAAGCTCATTTCAACAGCAGCCTGCTCAGAGTTACCCAAGGCGGGCGTTCCGCCGGCTGCCAGCCTGTGCCTTGCGGAGGCAGCGCCGGCCCCGGCGGGAGAGCCGCGGGGAGCCGCGGGACGCGTCCCTGCTGCTCCCGGGGCGGCCCGCAGGGTCGGGGCTCCGGTGTCGGCCCCGCAGGACGCTGCAGGAAAGTTTGTGCATGTGTAAGCATACATGGGTAAATAAAAAGTGACCTGGAAGGCTCTGTCAAAACGGGATGTATTGTAAAACAAATGAATTTAAGTAGCAAATAAAATTTTACTGTGCCTGCAGGACTTTAGCGTTCCAACAACAAAAGAAATGGGTGACTAGAAGTATATCAGCTAGAGAGCAGCTTTTAAAACAAACAGAAATAAACAAATCCTTTCTTTCTCTCGTCTTTTAACAGGATGGTACTGGGGCAACATGACAGTTGCTGAAGCCAAAGAAAGGTTACAGGATGCCCCTGAAGGGACCTTTTTGGTTAGGGATAGTTCGCATTCAGAGTATCTACTGACTATATCAGTAAAAACGTCAGCGGGACCGACCAATCTACGTATAGAATATCAAGATGGCAAGTTTAGACTGGACTCTATCACTTGTGTCAGATCTAGACTTAAACAGTTCAACAGCGTTGTGCATTTGATTGAGTACTATGTTCTTATGTGCAAGGATAGAACTGAAACACCTTCAAATGGAACAGTTCATCTTTACTTGAACAAACCCCTCTATACATCTGCTCCATCTCTGCAACACCGCTGCAGAATAGCTATAAACAAGAGCACAAATCAGATCTGGGAGCTGCCATTACCAACAAGACTAAAAGAGTACCTGAAAGAATATCAATACCAGGTATAAATATATTTTCTAAATGCCTCTAACACAGAGTAACTTTTGAATGCAATTCTTAAAATCAGCCAAAGAACTGAGTAACCAGTTGTACAACTCAGCATGGAATTCACTATCAAAACAGTGGCAGTTCTGGGGGAAAGGTTTTTATTTCAGATGCTACAAAGGGAGACTTTATGTAAAATAATCCCAGTGTGCATCCTTGGGGGTTCAACAAGGTGGCATGCTATTCTTGCAAGGAGAGAGAATTGAGGAATCTGTCCAGATTGTGTCACTCTGTCAATAAAATGCTGCACTATCAAACGCTTACTGAAACAGTGGGACCGGGAGAGACTTCATAAGTGGTCAGAGACATATGAGAGTTTACAAGTATCTCAGCTGTCTGATTCCAAGATTAATTTGGTGCTGGCGTTCATATAATCCTAAAAGCTTAACTAGATCACACTGTGATAATCTTGCTAAAGTTATGCAACTAATCAAATCCAGTCAGAAAAATGATCATATATTCAGTTTTTGTTGAACTACTCTCCTGCTTTTCTGCAAGCAAAGGAGTACTCTAAGTAATCAGTCTAGAACATTGTTTTTCAAAGTTATTTGAAAGCTGACCTTAAGAAGAAATGCCACATCTTTCACAGGAACCCAGTATATTACTGATTATACCAGATTGGTATCTCAAAATCCTTAATGTGTCAACATCTTCACAGTGTTGATGTATCCATGCCATTCTATTTATTAAGCCTCTTTTGGTTGAGGCTTTAGAACTATATGCTTCAGACTTGCAGTTCCAATGTCAAAACATGGGTATCAGCAGTTACATGTGTCTTCTACAGTGTAGAATGTTTTCTTCAGCCTGTTTCCCAAAATACGGGGAAATACAATGTGGATTTTTTTTATAGAGGGTTGGTTTTAATTTTTTTTCTTTTTAATTTTCTTTTTTCTTTATTTTATTTTATTTTATTTTATTTTATTTTATTTTATTTTATTTTATTTTAATTTCATTTTTTAACTTCCAATTCACCATTGTAGCTATCAATGATTACTCAATAAAGTAAATCAAAGTGCACAACAATCTCCCAATCTTTGTATGTACGGATTTGCTACTATTCAGGAAAGAGTGCTCTTATATAGGAACTTATATAATTTCCCAGCTAATACTCACATAAATGCACATGTATCAGTGAGGATGAATAACCCTGCTTTGCCTTTGTGGTGCTGCTCAAAAGTATAGCTGGATTACATTCAGATTAGTGGTTTAGAGGCTGCCTGCTGAATTCCTGTAGTTGGGTATTAGCACAGGACATTGCTTTTTCTGTTATAGTGGTCTTCCAAACAGGAAGAGGGGACTAAAACCCTCAGTACCTATTCTTCAGCCCAAAGGTAAAGTATTTAATAAAAGAAATACACAGGATGAGAAAAATGGGAAAGCAGTAAAGAGAGAAACAAGGACATGGACTCACCCTTAGTCAACAAATTAAAAGTTTTAATTCTTTCCCTAGCTTATTTGTTGATTAAGCAAAGACCTGTGCTTGAACAAGGAGGGTTGTCAAGACTTGCTGTAATCTAGCTTTGCCCAGGCTGAAATAGAAACAACATAAAATAATCTTGTTTTCCTTGTGACTTAACTGCTCTGTTGTACTTTCAAGATCTGTCCCTTCTCATAAACTCTGGGGCCCTGACCAGCTTATTTGTTGCATCTAAACTCCCAGTGTTACACACTCAGTTTTGTCTGTAACATGCTGGCAGAAATGAGTGGCAGAGCCATTGAGAAATAGAAGGCACCAAGAACGTGAGGCAGAGTGGATGGTTCCTTGGTAGGACATATACTTGATATGTTCTTGTTCTCTCTGTGGAAAACGGGTTTCTCCTCCTCCATTGCACAAATTTTCTGTCCCCATTTTAAACTCAAGCTTTAGTATAGAAATGGGAGGAGTTTTGATCGGAAAAACAAACCAAAATATTTTGTTATGTAAAATTTTCCCCATGTCTTGCCAAGATGTATTTGGAAGTTTTTTACATTATAAGGTGGCCACTTTTTGGTTCCCATGCCCAAAGAGCTCTTGTGTTCTAGGTATGTGTCATAATTACATGGTTCTTGTCATCAGTCTTGCTAAGATCTGCCACCCTCAGGCTGAGGAGCTTTTCCTGTGAGCAGAGCCTGTCAAAAAACTGTGTTCCTGTGAACACTTTTCATTCTGATGAATCTTTTCTTACAGTTCTTGTCTAGCTCTAGCCTGTGGTGAGAGAACTGCTATATGGAATAAGTTCCATCACAGTGACAGACTAATCTGCTGCTGTGTTACCATTCTACTGCTGTGCCTTTTCAGCCAGGCTGATAAGCTTGGGGTCTCAATGGTAAACACATTCTACTAAGGACCTTTAAAACAAATCCCTGCGGGTTTAACATCATGAATACCAGTGCTGGAACAAGCAGACTGAGAAGACAAGAGCTTTGGGGTGCAATGAGACCGCTAGATTGCGAACTCAGGAAATTATTTGTGGCTTGCTGGTGGCAGACTGTGAGCAGTCACAGGCCAAGTGTACCCCACAGCAGAGCCAAGCTCTGAGGAACAACAAGGGGCAGATGCAGGGAAGCTTGCTGGTTTTTTAATAACAGTTCTCCAAAGCACGAGGGCAAATGGCAGGCTGAGAACAAGCAGTGCTGGCAAAGTGAAAGGTGGTGATTCTTGTAACTAATCAAGTTACTGTGATGTGGAATCAAGTCCCCAAACACTGAGCATATTGACCTAGATTTCATACCATTTGTATTAGTTCCTGTGAGGAAAAGTAGGCTCTGTAGCTGTAGTGTGCTCAAGCTGTGAACAATATTTTAAACAGACTGGAGGGGGAACTAGTCCTCTTTGTATGAAAGCACAGTTCTCGTCCTCATTAGGATGCCAGTCCTAAGGTTGATGCATTGCACTAGTAGAACTAAACCACAGTATAGCTTGCAGAAAGCTTGGCTTCTTTCTAATGCAGCACAGAGGAATGACTTGTTCAGGTACAAAAAATCTGATGATAGAACATGATTAGATTTCAGTGCTACAAAGATCTTGCATGAAGACTGAATTTTCAGACATAAAATTTTCAGACATGATGTTCAAACATTTAAAAAAAATTTCAGTGCCTTGTTTTTTCTTTACCCTATGGATGTTGCAGCTTGTTTGCAGCACTAGCTTTTAAATTGTGAGCCCTTCAGATTATAAAAATTACTTCTAACTGATATATATCGTCTTGAATTGCTAGTGCAGAGTGTGCAGCAAAGCCAGTTTCACAGGTTCAATGTCCATGAGTCAACCAAAAATCATGATAAGGACTTTAATTCTAAGCCTTCTTTCACCCCATGTGTTGGTTTGGTTTTTCTTTTTTGAGTCTTGGAGTCTCAGATTTTCCAGTTTGTACCTGAAATGTTAGAAAACCTCATCAATTTACTTAAAGAGAACATATATATAAACATAATTGCAAGATGAATGATGAAAAATGAATTGGTGATAGTATTTAGTTTAGCACTAAACCTAGCAGAAGTGTAAACTAGGAAAGTATTTTAGTTGTATGGGTATCTTCCTGCTGGTAGTATTATCACTGGAGACAGAAAATGGTTTGAGCACAAGATGAATGGATAGAGTGGGAATGTAACCAAGCAGTTGTGCTCATTGCATTAGAAGTAATTTTATTTTAATCTTATCTTGTAATTATTGTCCTAATAATATTTTATGTAACCACATTCTAGATAAACAATATAAAAATTATTAGGAAGAAGGAAAAATTGTTCACCAGAATATGGGGAGCAAAGGTTTTTTTTTATATCTTACAACAATAAGGAATTTACTCCTATAATGAGAGTAAGTCTTATCACCTTGAGAAAACAGAATCTACATATGACAGGTGAAGACAGAGTTCTGTGGTTGTGTGGATTTCTGTACCTTAGCCAACTCTCATGTTTTAGCGAAATGTTCCTGCAGGTAAATTACCTTGTCAAAGATTGTTTTAAAAACTTTATTTACTTATACGCTCTATTCAAGAGCTTTTTCTTGCATTCCTGATAACAATCCTATTGATTTTTCCTTTGGCTATAATCTTAGTTAGTGGAAAGTAAGTCAAATGATATCAGGGCTTTGCTCTCCTTAAGCCAAAACACAAAATGGAACTGGGAAGAGATATCTTTAGACATGGGTATCATGTCTAAGAGTCACTTAAAATAAAGTAAAATAAAATTTCTGCCAACTTTGCAGTCATTAAAATAATTTTAAGTATCATATTTACTGCTAGAGGAAACCATGGCTTGAGGGGTTCTAAAAACTGTATTGCTAATTCTCAATAACAGTAACAAACTTTGTTGAAAGAAGAAATTTTATTTTGAAAATGTAGAAATTAATGAAATTTTTACTGTCTAAACCAAAGGATTTCTAAATAGAATAAGTCAAAGTTAGTTGAAAGGTCTGAGCTGGTTAGTTCTGTATACACAAAGGAAGTGAGGATGACAAGCTGCTTTGGTATCTCAGCCTAGCTCCTGAAAAGCACTTCTCTATCAGCATTAGATTCAGCAGGTCTCAGTATTTTGCCAAGCCATTAGTATGACTGAAAATGCCTGGAAAGAACATTCCACTGACACATAACTTCACCATGGTCTGTTTACAACAACATGGCCATTTGCCACAGTATTACTGAAATGGGGTCGTTTCTACAATAGGCTGAATATCAGTGAAAGGAACGGGGAGGCTGAGTTGATCCAGGTGCTGGCCATCACTGGTCCTTATCCCCTGACTTAGAGAGCACAAACTAGGTGAAACACAGCTGCTAGGAACAAGATGACAAAATATTCTGCTTTCTAAGGAGGGAATTACTTGTCTGGCTTTCATGTCTGAGAAGGGACTGAAGGGAAAGGACATGAAAAAGCCAGCAGCTCCTGTGAGAGGTGGTACTTCTCACAAGGTGTATCAAATAACTAACCACCTGGATGAGTACAATGCTGAAAGGTGTACTAGGAGAGATTAAAGGTCATGGGGAATAACTAGGATCAGTACAGTTTGAATCCACACGCAGAAAAACTCTGGCTAGATAGCTCAATTTTGAGAAAAAAGAAAATTAGCTTATAGCAAACTCAGTGCTGTCCTGGTGCCAGGGTTAATTACCAAGCAGGAGAGGGACTGTGTTTATTGATCAGGTTATCTACAGGGCTTTAAATTAGCCAGTGCCTTTGAGAAAGTCTATAGAAATACAAAAAATATATCACCATAATTATGCTGATTAAGCTGCTTGACAAATTGCATATCTTATTCACTTAGATTCTATTTTTAAAAAGGGATTGCACCTGAGTTTCATTTTGTTTTCTTCCATAATTGGAGCCATTATTTTTCCAGGAACTGAAATACCAAAATAATACCACTCCTTTTTTATGGTATTAAGGAGGAATATAATGCTGGAGCAAAAGTCATTTATATTAGCATAAGGAATGAGCTGGCATTTAGTAAAAAAAACTTCAAACCGGTAAAATCCAGAAATAGTGTACTGAATGTTGCAAAGAACAAAATACACTAAAAAACCCCAAGCAAACAAATTCAATGCTTTTGTCTTGATTTCTCTTTCACTGGAGGGCAGGGTTTATATAACTAAATCCTTTTGATTCCAGTCAAACTGTTCTGTAACTGATGTTTCATAGCTGAGGTTTGCAACTTGGTGCGCTGTTAGCTAACAAATAGTAAATGCAGGGGCATGTCAGGCATGGGGAAAGATATAAAGCCCAGTGCAAATTCTTCTTTTGAAGTTATTTGTATCAGGCTTGATAACAGGATTTTATGAAAAATAGTTGTAAATGTGGTAGCTGAAAGGGGAAAAAATCCCCTTTCAAAATGTTTTGTTACAATTTAATTGTATCTCTTTAGGTTGCAGCCCTGAAATAGGATCTGTTTGGCTGAGTCGCTGTACCCATACTCTGTCTCAGGGGGAATCTCCAAATTTGAGAGATTGCTCTGGACCTTTTTTAAACACATTTGCTTTTTTCTTACCCTGACACATCTGGAGGGCAGAATAAGTTGTGGATCAGCTTTTACTGTTCAAGGGATTTTTAGCTGGTTGATTTTCTGTAGGAAGAGCACTATTAAAGACTGAGCTGCAATTTATCCATCTGTAAAGTGGGCGGTGGACTCAACATTCTGTAATTTCTCAGCACGGGGTGAAAAGTGGCTTATACTACAAATAACATAGATAGGAACTTAAGCTGCAATGAGGGCAATACCTTTGACTGGTTGCACTACTAAAAAGAGAAGGAAGTAAGTTAGGAAAGTGAGATCCTTGTCTAGCTAGATTGCAGGGGATGTGGCACAGCTCCTTCCTGAGCTGGAGTGCTTCAGACGTGTGTTTTCTGTAAGAACAGCTGTTTGTGAGAAGCTTTCTGGAAATTCATCTGTTTCTTTCAATTCCCCTGACAGAGATTGCAGTGCCTACTGCAGGATGCTTCACTAGCTTGCAGGCAGGCAGCTTTCATTTTGAAAGGGAACAAAATACATCAAGTGAATTTTTAATCGAAGAGTATTTTTTGTTTGAAAACAGGATGCATGGGAAAGGTGTAAGCAGTTGCAAATATCTTGTGAGGCTATCTGTAAAAACATTCCATGAATCATTGCTAGCTCTTGAAGTCTAACCTTAAAGTAAGAACCTTTAAAAATATAGGTATTGTATATGAGTTTGTCCATAGGTAGGTATTGTATATGAGTTCAAATGCAGAGAAAGCAAGAGAAGATTGCAAAAAGCAATAGCTATTCTCCCCCTAAATAAATGCAACCTTCCAGTCTTTTATCTAAAATATTAGAAAACCATTTCACATGCTGTAATTTGCAAGTAAAGTAAGTTGGTTTTGTGAAAAGGTTTCACACTTCAATCTTTATTCAGTTTTAGTTATTTGCCAATGTTTGATTTTTCAGGTTAAGTAGTGAATTTTCTTTGTTCTTATATGAATAAAATGGTGCTTTACATTTAAAAAGTAATTTAATAAGTTGGGAATAAATAATTAATAAGAGGCTTGCAGTATTTCATCTGTCTCCTCAAAGAATCTTTAAATTAAAATTAAAAATAGAGTACATTAATTAATATATTTAAAGAACTACAAATTCTGAGAAATACTGAGTCATGTTTTGCAAGTATTAATTACACTTTTTTTTTTACAATTCACTGGATTTTTAAAATGAAATGTATACAAAAGTTTTGCAGTGGATGCCTGCTTTCTTTTTATAACTATTTCTCATTCAACTTTTTGCTAGAAATTATTTGTATCATAGTAAAAAGCACTATGAATTCATTGCAGTACTGCTAATAAACACTTATTTTTATTATGGAAACAAATGTAAATGTATAGACACTACAGAGTTACTTTAAAGCCTATGTTTTAAGATGCTTTAGAACTTTCTGTGTTATATTTTACATACGTGCTGGACGTGCCTTTTAATAAAATACTACTTTTGAGGAAGTTCATGACGTGTCACCTATATTTTATATTAATCCCTCTCTTTGATCTGCATTGAATTTAAAGTCTTTATTATTCAAATGCATGGAAGTTACAAAGTATCAGAACAATTACACAGCAGCCCAAAGGCTGATCCCTTTCAGTGATGTGCTTCAGTCCTGCCATCATCTTTTTTTAGAAGGAGTCATTTTTCTATCAGCAAAAGCCACCTGAAGAGCGAGACCCCTTCCCAACTGACCACCTCGTGTCCTCAAATCCTGCCAGCATCCAACACAGCATGCCTAAGATTTGGTCAACATTTTGGGGCAATATTGTATACCAAACCCTTCCCTTCCCTGGCATCAGCCAGGTTTTCAGTGGCTGGCACAGGAGCTTTGGCTGTTGGCATTACAGAGGCCCACAGCTGCGAAGGGAGGGCAACGGGGGCCAGGGTGAGGATGAAGAGAAGAGGGAGGAAGGGAAGGGGCCAGGACAGCAAGGGTTTGCAAGACCCTCAACTGGCCTTGGGGCACCCACTTTGGCTCACCATGACTTACATTTTAACACTGTTTTTGAGACACATCACTTACAAAAATGTTTTCTGTGCTCTTCTTTTGAAAATTGACAGACAAGCATACAAGATATGTTTCTCTTTTCCCTTCTTAATTTCTGAGGCTTTGTGAGAGATTTAACCAATTAGATGTGCTTTTAATAAACAAATCTACAGGCTCCTATTTTTCCTTTTGTCCCTAAAGCTGGAATGCTGTCCTGCAGACAACTGAAAACAGCACAATCCTAATACACTAAATCTGCTTGTGCCAGTTTTAAGAACACATTTGGCCTCTTGTTATCAGCAGAAAACAAAGTAGTCTGTACAAAACAAATTACATATATGCTTGGATACAGCTTGACTCTAATTAGCATAAAGGATCCTCTCAAAAGTATTTTTTAAAAATCTCATCATTCTGGTACAGTTTCTAAAAAAGCTTGTGACTTTTAAGTGAGCTTTTAAAAAGTGCATAATGAATGTAAAAATCTGGGATTATGACTTGGTATAACCTACATGTAAAGTGAATAGCATTGTCAGAAGAGATACTGCTTAGTTTGGTTCCCATAGATTTGGACTTGTGACTCTGAATTCAGCAGTCCTTAAAAGTATGGCCTGATGACCACTGATGGCCCCTCAATCTGCAGAACCAGACAGAACAAGCTTTTAAGAATAAAAGTCTGAGGATACTGATGTGCAGGATTGACTATGGTCCATTGATCTGCAATCTAGGAAATGTTTTTTTAATCTACATGGTTATCTTTGAGATTTGAGCAGTTAGTGGGGCATTCAGTTGACACCAAACTGGCTCAAATATACGTAAAATACATGTATGTATTTGTCCTTAAAACTGAAATAGAACCAAACCATGTCTCTGAAGTTTTGTTGAACTTGGACCCAGAAGACCTTTAGTGAGGGCTGAACCCAAATGGGACTGAAACAAATAATTTAAGGACTCCTCTCCTTGGATTTAAGTATTAACTCCGTGTGTCTTTATCCTGTACATGTACTATATAATAAAAACCTGGCTGCGTTGCTAAAGATGAACTCAAAACACCAGTAGCATATTTAGTTTCCACTAAATAAATTTGCAGCACTAGTTATTAACTAGTGGAAGGAAAAGGAAATGCCAGATTTTCCCTTAATGAGATTTGGACCTCTGGTGCCGTCCTCTTCCTTCCTGGGCTTATCTGTTTCCTTTCACTGCTTTCCTTCTTTCTATCTCTGTTCAGATTGCAAGCAAATACGTGACTAAATGCTGACTGTATAACTGCTGTAATTTCCTTGGGTGGAATCTGGAGTCGCTCTATGCATATCCATATGTTTTGCTAACTTTCTAAGACTTCTTGGATAGTATAAAATTAAAGAGACCAAATTGCCTCATCTGGCAAAAAGATACAGTAAATGCAGTGATGTAACTGTTTGTCCTAATTTTCTATTTTAAAATGCAGCCACATTATCTGCAATTAAAAGCAGCTGTCAGGATTGCAATGATGAGATTCTCTGAAGTCTCAAAGTTTGGTCACTCCCATTCCAGATATAATACAGTTCCTTAGATCACAACTGAAAGAAATTAAAAAAAAAAAAAGCAGCAGTGACAATCAGAAGCACAAGAAGCTGGGACAGGAAGCTCTCAGTAGCTGTGTGGTGCTGTGCTGAAGAACAATCACACAGATGCTTGTGGTGCCTCTGCTCCCTGGAGCTGCTCTGTACTGTTTACAAACACATCTCCTCACAACTAGCACTACAAACGTCGTGGCAAGAAAATTTAAAACCACCTCAGTTGTACTTTGGCTGCAACAGCAGCATACTTCTTGTCTTGGAGTTACCGATGATGACTTACTTGTGTGGCTTCCAGTCTTGTCAAATACGTTAATGCATTGCTCTGAAACAACCCAGAGGAGTATTTAGATTTTTTTATGTCTGCATTCCTAGCAGACTAAAGTGTGCCTAAGACAAAAAAAATATTTACTTTGGTTTATCAGATGTATTGTAATAAGGTTATTTATCAATTATTCACAAGCAATTGAACCCCCTTTATCTAATTTACTACCTGCAAATAATTATAGATAAAAGTGTTAGGTCATCAAACCAAAACACTGCTTTAAAACTGCCAAATAAGTAGCATCTCTGCAGAAGCTGGCCACATGATATGTGTATCTATATTTTTTAAACATTTCTTAAAACCAGCATACAAACTTTGCCTTTAAGGCTGATTTACGTTCTGTGTCCACATAAATTCTGAACTGTCAGCCACAAGAAAATCAAAGGAAAAGGATTTATGATTCCTGAGTGTGACTGCTTATCTTTATGCAAAATCTTGTAGATAAATATCATGTTAAGCATAGGCAGAACGTGAACTCTACTCTTGGTTACATTTTTCCATGGCAAGTATTTCTTGAGTACAGTATCTAGGAAAGGCGTAAAGGTTTCCACAACTAGCTTCCAAATACCCTTTAATATTTCAAATACCCTTAAATTTGTACGATTAGTCTAAACAGAGTGTACAAATGGGATTCACAAGGTGACGACGTTTCTAGCAGCAGCTGCAGCAACCACCTTTCCTGCTTTTCCAGAGGGTAGGTATTAGCACGCTGTGCAGACCGCAGCCAGCTTGCTGTGGCTGCCTGCAGCTTCAAAGGTAGTACGTTCCAGCACTGGAAGATCTTTTTTTTCCCCCCCTTTCATCGCTATTGCGGTCTCGACATGAAAGAAAAAGGGCTGACACCACTCAATCCCGTGTGACACCTGACACCTATGCAAAGATGGAAAAAAGTTATTTCATGATGTGTGAGCGAAAGTGACACCGCCTGAGTTTTACAGCGCTGTGAATCACAGTCTTCTCTTTTCTACCCTATTTTGGTTCCAGGCATCCATATAAAGTTAAGTCAATAATACAGTATTCAGTAATAGAGGAATAAAACAACAAGAATATGCACAGCAATGTGGTGGACACATGCCAGCTCTTACTTTCGTCTATTAACGTTCCTTCATTTTTAGGCTGTTCAGATGAAAGTAAAGAAGCCAAATGTGTACAGTATTCGATATAACACTGCTGTGTTTGATGTGACGATGCCAGCACCAGGATGAAGTTCAGCTGAGCGCACACTCACAAATAGCAACCAGTGTGCCTCGAGAGCAATGAGATCAGCTGTTTCTAATGTCATTAAAACTCCAATTTCGTAATTTCTAATTTAATTTTAGACACAACCCCTCCCCTCACTAAACACCCCCACCACCCTGACTCCCGAGAGCGCAGCAGGTCCTGCGAACTCCGGGAAAGGCGCCTCCTTGGCGGAGACACCTCCCGTCCCCGCCCCGGCACCGAGCAGCAGCAGCGGCACGGCCGGTTCCCTTCCCTTCCCGGGCGGGCCGGGGCCGGCGGGGCCCGGCTGCCGCAGCTGACATGGCGGCCGCAGGCCCCTCCCGCGCTGCCGGCCCGGCAGCGGCCGCGCCTCCTCGGCCGGCCCGCAGCAGGGCGGCGGCGGCGGCGGCTTCCGGCGGAGCCCTCCTGCCTTTAACAAAGATGGTGCTCCCCGCGCAAGCTCCGCGGGCGCCGGCGCGTCCTGGGTAGCTTCCCGCTCCCCTCGTGTAAGTACGGGGCGGGGGCGGTGGGTGCTCCCCGCACGCTGCTCGCTCGCTCTCCCGGGCGCTGCCGACGGCTCCACTCGGTTCGTCCCATCCCGCCCCAGGCGCCGCCGAGGGGGAAGCGGGAGAGCGGAGCCCGGAGCCGTCCGGCGGCGCCCCCGGCGCTGCGGGGCCGCGGCAGGGGCAGGGGCCGGGCTTCCGCGGGGGGCCGGGGCCGCCTCCGCTGCCGCAGCCCTGCCCGGCGGGAGGCCGGCACGCAGGAGGGCCGGGGGCTGCTGCCGCCTGAGGGGCGCGGGCCGGCGTGTGGGCAGCTGGCTCCCGGCTCTCACCGGAGCAGCAGCTGCCAGACCTCGGCAGGGAAGACGTTAAAAGCAAAACTTGCTGCCTTTTTTTTTTTTTTCTTCCCCTTTTTTTCCTTTTTTTTTCCCTGGCGGGATAGGGGGATGTGTAAGACTTTTGACCCGTAGGCTTGCTGTGAATAGCCAAGAATAATTCATGGGTTAGGCAGGTGAGTGCAGTTGGTGTTTCGGAAAAAAGTGAAATGTTTCTAGCAAGAAAACCAAGTGAATGTGCCGTTTTAGTGTCAGAAGGGGTTCTTATCAAAAGTTTTATCCCCATTCATGGACAGTTACTCTGTCAGAGCCAGAAAAATGCAAGCCTGCTAGTGTTGTGGTGATGAGTCAAGGACTGTGCTCATTCGTCGTGTGCTATATTTCTTAAAATTTGACTTTATAATGGGAAAGGTCCATTTTCAGAAGTATCTGGGGAATGTTTGAGTGATCTTTTGGGTAAATGGGCATCTCATATTTTTCATTTTCTGTCAAATTACTCAACTAAATTTAATTCAGAGCTTACTTTGAATCCCTAGATACAGGCTGTGATTAAAATTAATTTGTTAATTCTGTGTCGGCTAAAGCTGTTGCACTCTGTCCCAACATTGTTACACATCAAAATCCTGATACATTTCCATATATAGCTGCTTAGTTCCTGACTCAGACGTTTGATTCTCACAGCAAACACACACAATGAAATACTTCATCTTGAGAAAGACCTTAGAAATCAGTATGCCCCATCCTGGAAATTTACCAGGCCGCTGCCAGGACTTTAAACCCTCAGTTGTGTGCGTTCTGCAGTCAGCAAGGCAAAGGGCTTTTGCAGCAGAAACTCTCCCTTCTGATTCCTGGCTTGATAGGCATTTCTCAGTGCCCAAAGGTGCAAACCTTTGGTTTGTAAGAGCTTTTATTTTGTGAAAAGTGTTGGGTGCTTTGGTCGGGAAAAAGACGAATTCGTCAAGTTCTGTACAGTCATCCAGCACGTGAGGAGGCTCCTGAACGGGGACTCTCAGGGTCCATTCAGAACGTGAAACACAAAAATTTTGTAGTATCTGAAACAGTTTTCTGCCTGGGTTGAGATGACACCCTCAGAGGTGCTGCTGGATGCCTTTCTTCAACTCTGCAAGTGCTTCGTGAGCTCAAGGGTGTTCTCCTAGAAGGAAGAAGTGGTAGGATTTCCTGCCTGAATTTTGCTCTAGTCCAGAGGTTGCTTTCTGTAGTGTAAAGGTACTATGTGTTGGAGACCAGAATCTTCAGCTTCACCTGTGCAAAATTAGCATCCTAACATCAAGTGGGAAAATCCAGTTCTCTTTCTTGCTTGCTCTTTTTCTGTCTCCTTGCTTGCACTACTGTCTCAGTCCATGATGGAGTTTGATGTTTGAACTGTGCTTGGCAAGCTAGGGCACATGGGCTGGCATAGCAGTGTTTGATTCCCACATGATCCCTAGGCAGAAGGTAAGCACCTTGAAATTCACTTCAGTAGATGAGAAATGCACTGGGTAGTCCAGGAAAGATTGACTGCTCCAGGAAGATGCTTTCCAGCAGTGCTTTTGGCCCTTGATAGAAGCATTTTTGGAAAGTAGCTTTGTCAGAGGTTGCCACAGACAGGGTTTTCCAGTCTCTCTCTCTCATGACACTGTGCTCTTGCATTCTGTCCAAGATGCTGTTTACATGCCAATATGTTCCCTTGGTCATCCTCCTGGATTTTAACAACCAGGCAACCACAGAATCTTTGATGGGGCCCTGGGAGTCAGGTAAAAAGACTTCATCAGGTTTGATGCAAAAGCTTTGAAAATTCTGTCTCTCCTTGCATCCTCAAGCTGAATGAAGTAAGAATTTCTGCAGGGTCTAGCGATTCAAACTGCAGTGTCCAGTTTAATTGTGAGAAACCCTCTTGGTAATCACACAACATTGGCTGCCATTTTTTGACTTTTTTATTTAGTAACGAGAAAGTATTTAATTGTGTTGTCCTTTTTCAAGTGCCATTAATGGGCCCAGGGATATATTTGTCCTTAAGGACTGGACTAGACACTTGGATTTGGTTCAGAGGTCTGGCATGGACTGCTGACTTGATCTTGGAAGAGCTGCTTGGTCTCTCTGGACCCTGATTATTCTTTTGTAGAGTGGCTATAAAATGCATCTTTTTCAGCTTTTGTCTAGTCAGAGTGCTAGTCAAGTGAAATGGAAGCTGGCAGAGGGCATCTGATGGCTTGCTGTGAACAGATTAGAAGAGAGGGAGAAGAGCTATTTAAGCTATGGAACAGTTTTGGCAGAAGAAATGCCTATAAATAGAAGGGGATAAATTTGAGATGGAAATTCAAAGAAAGTTTCTTCTCATTGGAACAGTTGAGTTCCAGAGCAGTCGTCCAGGATGATTCAAGGGTGAGAACAACCTGGTACTTAAGGTACTTTCAACCCCTCCTAAACTTGAATTGCATCTTGTAGGCCAAAGCTACCTGCTGATTCTGTCCCTGCTGCTGCTTCTGCCTGGCTGAGATGAATCTACCAGTTCTGCTGCTGCTTTTGTAATTTTGTAATTGCATCAGTGGTCAGGTGTGATATCTCTTTCATTTTGGAGGGCCTACTGTTTCTAAAGGACTGGCAAGTGCTCTAGCTGCCTTTAGTATGGACCCAAAATCAGCAGGATTATTTGGCATGGGTTTCACTCCAGCAAAGGACTGGTCTTTGCAATGCCAAATATTCTATTCCTGTCTAGTATTTGCCAGAAACTTGATCATTTTGCCTTGTGAGACAGTGAAATCTGAGTGGAAAGAAGATGATGGGGATCATTAGTAATTTTGCCAGGTTGGTGATTATGAGTTTGGAGTTTTCTCTGAAGGTTGACAAATGTCAGACATCACTTTTGGATGTTCAGATATCACTTCTGGATGTTAAAGGTTGGAGTATTTTAATCTTCACGCATTTCTTTGCTCCTTTTCTCTCACTCTAGGTTGCCAGATGGAAGCCAGAGACAAGCAGCTTTTACGCTCCCTGCGCCTGGAGCTCTGCACAGAGGTGCTGGTGGATGGACTCGTTATTCAGTATCTCTACCAAGAAGGGATTCTCACAGACAGTCATGTTCAAGAAATAAAAGCCCAAACCACTAGTCAGAGGAAAACCATGATGCTTCTTGATATTCTCCCCACCAGAGGACCCAAAGCTTTTGATGTGTTCTTGGATTCCTTACAGGAGTTCCCGTGGGTTAAGGACAAGCTGATGCAAAAGCGTAAGGAAATGACAATACAAGATCCTTCAGGTAAGGCCAGGATTGCTGTTGTTGCTATTTGGAAGCTTGTTCTCAAGCCATAATTTCAAAAGTATTGAATGTATCAGTAATTTCAAGTTATGTGTCGTGTAAACTCATGATACCAAGAAAGGGGAGCAGCCTGCATTTCCTGGAAGCTACTCAAACACCAGGAAATATTGCAAAGTTTGAGGCAAGAGCAGGGCTGAGTTTCAGGAGACAAGGAGACAGTAAAGGCTACCTTGGGTGAGGCTGGGATATAGGAGGACCCATAATCCATTGCCTCAAAGGGAATGGACTATGAAAAGTAATTTTGACTAGCTGCAGAACAGTGTCTTTGGCATCCATATCTAATATTGTTTCATTTATGTATGTTTTACAGTGGTTTGTTCCTGAATAATTTATATTTACAGAGTTTTTGTTTACTTGTATTATTATTTCAATGTAATTATTATTTAGTACTCTATGCTAATTTAAATTTATTTAGTTTATTATATTTAGTGGAGTACAAATACCTAGGATCATTACTTGCAAAATTACTAGCCATTGCTTATTTTTAAAACAAATTCAGGAGCTCATTATTTAGTATAATCTGTGGGGTTTTGGCATTTAAATATACTTCTAAAACTAGTTTTCTAGGCTTGATGTTTGTTCAGATGTGATTTCTTTACCAATCTATGCATGCAATTGCTGAGCTGTTTTGAAGTCAAGACTACTGCTTTAAATGCACATTTCTTGTCCCAGATTCTCACAGCATGCACTGGCTGCTAACCATGTTACCAACGAGGTGGTGAAATAGTCCTCACTTGGGAACATTTTTTCCAAGCAGTCTGATTAATCTTTCTCCAAGCCCTTCCCTCCTGCTGTACCCACATTTGAGTTTTGTTATACATATTTTGATGCACATGACATGTGATTTTTCCAGTGTCAGTGTGCTTTGCATGAGACTGAAAGCCTGTGAAGAAGGGTGGCTAAGACCTGTTGACCATCATGTTCACCTGCGTCTCAGTTAGCTGCATGTTCAAGAACATTTTGTCAAGATCTGCTGGACAAATCTGAGATTATTTTACCTTAGGACATTTTTAATGGAATATTCTGACAGCTGGTCTTTCTGTTGGTTTCTGTGTACGTTGTTGTGTGTGTGCTTGGAAATGAGTAAATAATTTTCAAAATTTGGGAATAAACATCCTATGCTGCCTACAGCATAATGCAAACCATGACATTGAGTGTGCTGGAAAAGGCCTTGCTCACTTAAGTACTATCATGCTAGTGCTCTTTATTTGCCTTACAAACGAGCCTCTTCATTTGATAATTGTTGCTAAAGCTGCTGAATAACCTTGTGTGTGTTCCAGACATACTCAGCCATTAAATACAGTCGGGATTGTGTAGTTCATTACTGAAAAAATTGTTACCAATTTTTGTCCTTTTGATTGTTTTGTGGATTGCTTGTTCCTGCTCTTGATCACTTGTGACTAGTGTGCTGGATTCCTGCATATCAGGTTCTCTGGTTCTGAGTGGGCTGACAGTACTTGATAGTCCTATTGCCAAATTTTGTGTGTTAATTAGAAAAGGCTTCCAGGTTAGATCAAAGGTGACTGTTATTTTTATGGTGGCAATACAGAGAGTAAGAACAGGATAGGAGGCAGAAAGCCAAGTTTGTTTTAGCATTTAGGCATGTTCTTTAGAAATCCAAGAAAGAGAGTACCATCTGTGCCCTCATAAATGCTGAGTGTACCCTGGAATGAATTGGAAGCTATGGTGGTAGCATCAGGGCTGATTACATGCAAGAAAATGTGGTTTGGGATAAAAAACTTCGCTTTGCATTCTAACAACAGACTTGGAAGCTTTTGTCTTGGCGGAGTACATAAACATATGCTTAGCCTTAAGCATGGAAAAAGCCATTTGTTCTAATAAAACTATAAGCACATTTAAAACTGTGTTCTCTAATGCCATGCTAGATAACTCTGCCTTATTGGAAACTCTTCTTATAACTAACTATTTGTCAATGGCAATTTGTTTTAAAGAAGCCATTTGTGGTGAAAAAAGCTTGCCACATATAGGCTATCCTTCTTTTGGACCCTAAAACTTTTAAAATGGAAGTTGCTTTTAAGTCCCGCAATTTTTAATTTTTTTTTTCCTTTGGATCATAAATACTATGGATATTGAATGCTTTCTGTTCACTTGTTTATGGTCAATTAAAAATCTGTTAAGGAAAATATCCTCTGTTTTTACAAACCCTTTTGCAGGACTAAGGAGTAGTAGTAAATTGATCCTTGATGGAAGGTTTTATTTTCATCTTCTGCTTCTTGGTGATTACATGTAGGATTTTTAAAGTCAGTAATCAAACAGACTATTAGATTATGTCTGTCTGAACCTGAAAACTGGGAGGTACGCAGTGATTTTTTTTTTGTGTAGGCCTTTGACTTATTTTGCATTTTGTTACACCTGAGAAGTATAGTTGGTTAAAGAAAATCACAACCGTAATTAATTTAGAAACTTTTAGTTTATTTTCTTTCCTAGTAAAAAACAAGCCCAAACTAACAAATCAAACAAACAGCAATTTCAGAAATAAAAATATTTTTGTTGATATTGTATAAATATGATCTGGTGGACCAAGCAAGTACAAAATGGAAGCCAAAGTCTGAGATCTAGGCAAGATGCTGCCACTGACTCACTGTGAGTCTTTGAGCAAATTCTTTCAAGGCAATGGATTTATTGATGCCCAAATTGTGTAACTCGGTGTAATGTTCATGGAACAGCATAGAGTGGAACTGTAAATTGGCCCAGGATTCAACTCAGATTATGCTGTTTGGCTGCTGGCAAATAAATGAACTTTAAAACCTCTGATATCCTGAGTTTTATTGCTGAATGTCAGTTGACTTAAAAATAATGCTTCTGTATACTGTTATCTGATGTAGTTCCATTGAACACAGAAGACCGTAATCATAATCATCATCCTTAAGCATGAGGAATAGTTTTTCCATGAGAATCAGGAAGGTGATGTGCAGGCAGGTAGGGCCACTTGCATCTGTGTAACTGAAGCAGAGACCCAAGATTTCTTCCCCTTGCTTGTTTACTTCATGCAAGGACAGCCTTTTGCCTGGGGTCCCCTTTCTCATAAGGGGACTCTCATTCTTTCTTCATAAGATGAGGAAAGCATAGTTGTAAAACTCCAAAACCTCAAGAAGGAAGTTTAAAGTCGTGTGCTTTTGGAGGTAAGTATTTATGACTTGAATTAATTTAAAGGTGATAGGTATCTTTCTGGCTTGTATAACAGCCTGTGATAAGCCAGTTCACCCTGTGCAGAGTGGCATTGCAAGACTTAATAATTATAAACATCAACCACAGCATGAGTTTCTGGTTTTGAAGATCAAAACTTCTGCCATAGTAAGAGTTAACAAAAGTAATGTGTGTCTGTTTCATTGGGAAATGGTTGTTCTGGTTTTTCTGCCCTAGTTTGGATAGCTTTATGCCTTTGTCAGGAACATAAATCTTCAATATAGTCTTATAATTCCAGTGAAAAACTACAGCTGTTGGCAACAGAATTCCCTTCTTTCTAGGAACAGCAAACAGCAACAGTTACCCAATATATTTTGCACTGAATAAGAAAATGCAGGTCTTGATGGTGTTTGTTTGTCAGATTGTTTTTCTAATCTCTCTCCGCTTGGGAATTTCTCAGCCCAAGTATTGTCTTTCTCTACATAATACATGTGCTGTAAAATAAATAATTTACTTCTAAAAGTGTTAGTACTGCACCTCTTTGTGGTATAGATGACTTCTTCGTTCCACAGGAAATTGCAGCATACTGAGAACAAAAAAGTGAGATACGGTGTTTGCCAAAGGAATACTGGAGCAGCTGCTTCTGTCTGGCAAATGTTAGTGAATTTAGGGCATCAGAATTGCCATGGGAAAGCTGTACTCTCGCAACTAGGCAGGGAATATTTTCTAATGCATAGTTTTGTTGTGGTACCTAGTAAACATTAGTGTCCTGCTAGACTTGGGTATTCATTTGAACAAATTTTAGTCTGGTTGAGGTTTTTCCCTGGATGTGTGGGGAGTGTGTGTTGTTGTACAGCTATAGAAAACTTCATGTTGTGTAACCCTTTGGATGAAGCATGCAAATACAAAACAAAGCAAAACATGTACTTATGCCGAGAAAGCCAGACCTCCTTCCATACCCTCCCAGCTTTCCTAAAGTCATTTTTCCACAGCTGGGTTGTGGATTTCTAAGAATTTGGATTCAAATGCAAAAGCATTAGTACATGGGTAGTTTTAGTATCTCTTCTTACCTTTTGTTGGCTGCTTCCTGCTTTCTTCCTATCCTGCTTCCTCTCCCATCTAATGCAGTAAGGAAACAGCCTGATCTCTTGCCTTTTCCCTTTAGATGTCAGATAGGAAAAGCAGCTGAGGAATCCCTTTTCTCTCTCTAAAATGGTGGACAGAATACTGTAGTTTTTTTCCTTTCTTCTCTTTCCCTCCCCTCTCTTGTATAGTCCAGTGGCAGAAGGGGGAGTTTCTTCCCATGTGTGTCTGAAGGAAAGGGATGGGCTTAGCAGCCTTGGCCTCGCTTGGTTGACCTGGAGATGAAGGAATGCCCTTGTGCCACATCCTAATGCCTGGAGGCTATAGGAAATGTTCTCTGGTTATCTGGAGCAGTTCAAAGGCATCCTCATAGGAGAATTTCCCAAACTCTTTTCCACATTCCCATCTCCCCTGAAAATCGGGTGTTACATTTATGGCTTTGGCTGTGCTCCTGACCGCAGCGAGATCTGTGAAGTCTGGCAGTAAAGGTTTGTGCACACACTCAATATTAACCATATGCATCACGATATGGACAAGTAATTGACATCTCTGGTACTGTGGAGTATTCTGTGCATGTATTTTTAGTTTAATGTGTGTATAGATTTTTTTTCCTTCTTTTTCTTTCAATTTAAGGAGTATCTTTCTTTTTTTGCCATGTTCATAGGTAGCTGGCTTTATGCTGCTTATATCATACATTTTTCACTTTGAGA